TTAATTTAATTTAATTTAATTTAATTTAATTTAATTTAATTTAATTTAATTTAATTTAATTTAATTTAATTTAATTTAATTTAATTTAATTTAATTTAATTTAATTTAATTTAATTTAATTTAATTTAATTTAATTTAATTTAATTTAATTTAATTTAATTTAATTTAATTTAATTTAATTTAATTTAATTTAATTTAATTTAATTTAATTTAATTTAATTTAATTTAATTTAATTTAATTTAATTTAATTTAATTTAATTTAATTTATAATAAATAAGATATTGTATTTTACATTATTTTGTATTTATAGTGTAATTTATCAATATTTCAGTCAGGTATCTGCCAAATTTTTAAAAATATTTGATAATGGTACTAGAGTATTTTATCGAAATGGCATAAACAATTTTAAAATACTAAGAAATACGCAAAACTTTAATAAAGGATCAGCTGGGATTTTGATAAATACATTTTTGTGTTACTAAAAGAGTCTATAATCAGATTATGCTATCAGTTTTGGTTGGCATTTTTGTTCGTTCTATACTTTAGTTTTGACCACCGTGTAAGGTCTATTCTATAAACGAAGCAGACTTGTTTAAAAAGTGAGTTCATATTTTTTATTTTATACATTGCCCTAACATATATATATTTAAAAAAATCTTAGTGCAGTCTTATTAATTTAAAAGTGTTTTGTACCAAAAATCTATATCAAAATTTAATTACGCGATGTGGATTGCGACTAGGTTGCATAGTAGAATACTAGGTAGGTGTATGTGAAGATAATTATAACGATTCAATTTTGGCATCGGCATTTGAAACGCAAGGGGGTACACAAGCAGCAACCTACTCGTACTCATATAGAATCTCGGGCCGACTCGACGGTGCAGATCTCTGCAGGGGGTTATAGCTTGTATAAATTACAAGTCGGGTGCTAATTGCCCCATAAATCCAAGAGAAAGCCCCCCCCTTCTCCGCCTCACCTCTTTTACTAGTTTTAATTAGTTACACGGTAAGTACTCGCGAGCTCAACTATATAACTAACTACCTTATTGCCGGGGTGGCGGCTCCCCCTTTGCCCCCCCCCTGATTCCCCCCACTGGGAGGCGGTGAAATATTCAGTCTGCTTCCGCCGCCTCACTTATGAAAGCTCTTGATGTGTGCAGGATCCATCAGGTATTCAAGAATTTGATTAATTTTTGAAAGTCATAAAAATTGTTAACAAATATACACTATTTATCAAGTCACATCTATTCTTAACAGTTTTTTTTCGATATATTTATTTTTGTGGAAAATATGGATTTTTAAAAAAAACATTGCAATTTCCAATATTTTTCTGTATGCTATGTATTGCTATGGTCCATCCATAGGCTATGGAGAATGACAGTGACAGTTTTGTTGAATTATCCCATACTTTGACATGTCATACACGGCTTTCAAAAGCTATCAAATTGTTTTTTGCAAATTAATGTTTAAATTTTGAGGTGTCTTCTTACTTTATAAAATGGATATGTCTCCGACTGATGTTGCCAGAGCTATTAATTTAATCCAGGATGGACGGTCACAGTATTACGTGGCAAGTGTTTTAAACGTCACAAGAAGTAAAGTACAAAGGGCAACATCAGTCGGAGACATTTTTAAAAGTATGAAGACACCTCACATTAAATTACAAAAAACAATTTGATAACTTTTGAAAGCTGTATATGACATGCCCAAGTATGGGATGATTCAACAAAACTGTCACTGTCATCCTGCATAGGCTATGGATGGACCATAGCAACCTTAGTTCTTCATACAGGAAAAATATTGGAAATTGCAAAGTTTAAAAAAATCCATATTTTCCACAAAAATAAATATATCAAGGTGAACCAAAAACAAAACTGTTAAAAATAGATGTGACTTAATAAATTAAACTTAATTTAGAACAATATACGGTTTTGCCACTCTACAGTGTCTTCAACTTATGGTAAAAAACATATTTTTGTTTAAACCTTTATATTATAAACGTACGTATATTTTTTAGTAATTTTTAAAATGTGAGCGATTCTCCATTAATGTATCTACAATATTCTTTAAAATTTGTTTAAATCCGAAAACAAATAAAAAAGTTATTTGCGATTGAAATTCATCGAAAATTTGTGTGGATCGATTATTTTACTGTGTGTACTTAAATTTCATTCCCAAATATAAATTTTCACTCTTACCTAAATTTTTTTTCATTTCCTCAACAATGAATCCACTTTTGGTTGTTGAAGCAACGCATCAAAAAAAAAAACAACAAAACTGTGAAATAAATCATTTATATCCCTGAAGCTCGATACGATGTAGTTTACCTAATTATACAGTGTGGAACCGTTAAATTGTAACATGCAATTTTCGGAAACTGTTTAATTGGGAGCCCCAAGGCTATCAGCTTGCCGACCCTGTCATTACATGAAGAATGTGTGCTCTACAAGTTTCGAAGAGAACTTCGAAAAAATGTGAGTCGACAGCAATTTAACATGTAAAATTATCCGAAAATACAGTAATGACGTACCTGGGTCATTTTCAAGAAACACCCGCTTTCAGGAAAATGGAGATCAAAATATTTTTTTTTGCTAAAATTGACTTTTGGTTGGATTTTTATAAATAATTAGAGTGTGGTTTACTTACATTTAAGACAGGCAATGCGCTTTTTAATTTTTTTTACAGAAAAATGTGTTTAGCTAGCTTTATATATCTCCACTGTGTTACCAATTTGAAATCCAAAATTTAATTCAATAAAAAAAGTTGTTATAAAAATAATTTGAAATAAAATGTACTTAGTTCACAAACTTTTGACTCCAATTTTTTATTTTATTTTTTATTAAAAATTGTATGCTTTTTTTTAATATGTATTTTCGTTAAGTTACTTTTTAAAAGAATCCATTCCGATTCTTTGTTAAAAAAACAATACCATTAATATTTTCATTTAGTCACTGTATTAGTGAATTAAACTCTAATTTATAAACACGTATTACCAAGTGATGGTGTATAAAAATCATTTTAAGTATTTTTTTTAACAAAAACTAAAAAAAGTAACGAAATATACAAAGGACTTAATCAGATAACGTAAAAAAGAAACTATATAGGGTGGTACGATTTTAGAGTAATGTATAAACAAAATCCCTTGTAGTGGTGCAAATAATAATTTAAAAAAATTGCATTGACACGCTGTGGGGTTTTTATAGGTAGGAATATTTTTACGCTTGTTTTATTTTCTCCCTTGGCATTCTTTGTAAGTTTCGACATGCAAAATTTTGATTTACTTCTGTACTATTATATACCTAATTATGTTTATTTATGTTTTATTCATTTTTTCAACTGTTTTTTATAATAAAAGTATAATATTTATAAAAGTTGAACTTTTTATATAGGTATAAGTAATAATAATTATTATAGAAAATGCATAATTTCGTCTATAAGACATATTTTATTAAAGTAACTAAATTGCTAATAAAGAGAATAAACAGAGTTTGTAAGAAGTGGTTACTACATAAAATTAATAAGAATTTTCAAATAAACATAGCAATCTGAAGTTATACTGGCTAAAAAACATTTAATACTCGATATAAAGCGGGTTTATAGTATTTAAGATTTTGATTATATCCACTATAGTGTATACAACATCATTTTATGGTAGCAGTATATCGATTTTATAAGAGATAATAGTATGTCTAATAACTGTTATTTTTCATAACAGGTATTATATTTTTCCCTCAGTGTAGATTTCCATGTTAATGAGGGCGCAATAATTACTGAATAAATATGCGTCGCATCGATTGTATAAAGTTTAAATTTTAATTTGGTCGGCATCTCCTTTGAGCCCGCTTGAAATATGCCTTTCTACTAAGAGCTAGTTATAGGGAATATTGTTGAGGAGCGCATTAAGACCCGTATGTCTCGGTCTGATCTTAGTACACTCAACCAGCGCGTTTATTATTCGATTTCAAGGTGCCTCTAGGGTGTTTCTTGTGGATGGTCTGCTTTTCCCATTACTGCCTTATTGTATTCTCCGCCAATAAATAATATTCTTTATATGACGGGCCGAATGGCCGCAACTTTGACTTTTAAATCCTAGCGTTTTCGACTTTCAATTATTCGGAGATTTTAATATTTCCAATTAAGTCCATGTGTTACTTGATTGGGTAAACTATCTTTAGTTTCTCCAATATATTTTTATCACAGGAAATATTAAATCATATTGTTAATGCTTTTTAATTTTAATTGTGAAAACAAACACTAAAATGGCCGGACAAAAAAGTTAAGCAGTTTTTGAAATATAGTCAATTCCATATTATATGTAAAATTGATTATATTTCAAAAACTGTTCTACTCTTATAACTTTTGACGGCATTTTCGGATTCATAAGAATTGACTGCTAAATGTCCTGGATACAAATTGCTGTTGACGAGAATTATTAGTGTCTGCTTTTTCGCTATGACATATTTGACTAATTCATTTTTAGAGAGTAAGTAATATAGTGATTTCTTCGTCACAGGACATCTTGCAGAATAAAAGTGCATGATAGAGAACATAAAAAAGTAATGGCAACAAAATTAATAAATTCGGAAAATACTTTTAACATACCACCCGAAAAAATATTAGATATATATAAATCATCCTGTTCCGGCCTAAACATTATAAATGCTTCACAAACTAGAGATACCACACTTAATGATATTAAGAATCCAGAAAAGGGATGAGGAATCCGAGAAAAAAATATATGAATTATATGATATTTACAAAAACGAAATAAAAAAAGTGTCCAATAACTACCTATGTGGTTTAATCTAAAAGAGTAACGCATTATAACTTTTCCCAAGTAAAATTCAGTACATGTATCGCCATCTACAAATCAAACAATAAACTTGTAAATAAAATAATTCCGATACCTTAACGTATGTGACAAGTAGGTCCCTCTATGGGAGAGTAGATGTACTACTCTTCTATGTTCAAAAAATAAAGACGCTTACTTGAATAATATATTTATAAAAAAAAATTATTTACAGTTTTTTACAATTAATAATTAACCTAATAATACTTATTACGATAGTTTTTCTATGTAACACACTTCTCAACAAGACAATGTGAAGCAACGATTTTTTTGAAAAAGCCGACAGATTTTTTGGCTGTTCTTGTCCTGTTTGGACTCGAAAAATCTACGTGGTAAAGACCGAATTTCTCTCTAAAAAAACATATTATTAGATATTATTATTATATTAATACCGGCGCATCCGCCATTTTTGCAAATTTTAAGTTTGCGAAAAATATAAAAATATGCTTACGTATAACCAGCTAACCATTCAAAGTTATCTAGTAAACTCCAAGCCAAATAGCCAGAAACATTCACTTTATCTGTGTGTATAGCTTCCAATATGGCACTCAAATATTCCTTAAAAATAATAAATATAAAATATTTAATAATATATAAATTAACTATAACTCACAGTATAATAATGAATTCTGACGTCATCATCTAAACGGCCATCATCTGAAACTCCGTTTTCTGTGATGATAATTTCAGGGTTGTTGTAAGTATTTTTAAGCCAACTCAAAAACTTTCTTGTGCCCCATGGAACAATCTAAAAAAATTGCAAAATTACAAATAACGAGTTTGGAAAAGTCTTACTTTCAACCACGATGAACTAGTGGCTTCCCAAGTGGGGTCTTGATAGGAAAGGGACCCCATATCCAGCACATAGCCAGTTTCATTGAAACTGGGCTCCTTGATTTTGCTGACCAATGAGGTCGTGTAGGTGTTGAAACCCAGGAAATCGTGGGTACCCTTGATGTACTCCACTTCTTCTTCCGTGAACTTGGGCAGCCTTGACTTGGCGTAACCTTCTCTTTTACTTCTGTAGTCCACCCTGTCTATCACAACCTGAGGCCAATTGCCGAGAAATATGGCATTCGCATACAATCCAAACTGCAAAAAAGAAGGTTAAAATATATACAGGGTGTCCTGAAAATTATTATTATGGTTCAAAAATGCATTTTTATGAGGAGATATCGACTATTTTACGAAGTATAATTATTTTTATGTTTGAAACAAAGTTTTATTGCGAAAATTAGTTTCAAAGTCCAAAAAGTTTTTTTTGTGAAAAATTTAAATTATTATTACTATTAAATTAAGGATTTTTTTAATTTTTCTGTCATCGCTTTTTTAATTCAATTTTATCGTAAAAATAATTCAAATAGTCCGACAAAATGTTTTTGTGAAAAACATTTACTAAAAATCATTTCTATTGTAAAATTTAACAAAATAAAATCGCGGTTGCTTACAGAGAACTGCCTTCTCGTCTCAGCCGCCTCCAAATCACTTTTCTTGTCCGTAGCAGGCTCAAACCAGTCGCTATCTATAACAATCGAAATCCTGCCCCCTTGCTTGCCCCTAAATTCGTCATCGTAAATGTGCCAGGCTTTGGCATGGGCCTTCAGAACTGTATAGGTACATAGGTAGTCGGCCACGCCCGGTGACTTGATCAGGGGGGCCATGGTGGCAGTCCCGTAGCCCTGTTGGCAAGTCTGCTTGGCTTCGTTGAAAGTGAACCAGGTTTTGACCGAATCCCCGAAAGCTTCAAAGCATATTCTCGCGTAGTTTGCGAAGTGATCTGCCAGGATATCGTTGGGCCAACCCCCGATGTCTTGAAGGGGCTGCGGGAGGTCCCAATGGTACAGGGTGGCCATGGGTTCGATGCCATTGTCTAGCAGCTCTTTGATGAGGTTTTTGTAGTACTGTATCCCAGCCTTGTTGACTTTATTGGTGAACCCAGTGGGCAGGATTCTGGACCAGGATATGGAAAACCTATACGCTTTAACCCCCAAATCCTTCAAAAGTCTCACATCGTCCCGGTATTTGTGATAGGAATCACAAGCTATGTCACCGTTATCACTGTTTTTAACAGCTGTGGGGTTGGTGTGGGTTAAACGATCCCATATGTTCTCGCCTTTCCCATCTTCATTCCATGCCCCTTCAATTTGATACGATGCTGTGGCAGTCCCAAATTTAAATGACGCTGGGAAGGATTTATTACTGACAGCTGCAGTTAAACTAAAAATACAAATAATAAATTATTATCCACCAAATTACAAGTAAACTTCCCAGCATTTTAAATCTCATTACCTAATATAATAATTGTTGTAATATCAAAAAATTCCACTAAAAATAGTTTGTTTATAAAAATTAATAATTTTGTTCCACTTATTAAAATGTGTAGTATAAAAATAATTGTTTCTTAAAATAACTTTTTACTTTTAATGCCGTTTGAAAGTTATTTATTATGCAAAAACTCGTATTATACTTTTACAAATAATAATTAATATTCAGTCCAACCCACTATAAATTGTATGTCAAGAATATATGAATGACCCTGTATTTATTATTAAAACAATAGATTTATTGTTTGTTATAAATTATTTATTTAGATAAGAATTAAAATTTAGAAATTTTTGCCAAACTGATTTTTGACAAAATAAAATTTTTAAAACTATAAATAAAACAATTTAAGGTAGACAAGTATAATGTGTCAAAAAATCATAACAAATATATTAAAAAATTCTTACCCTACAAAAATAACAGACACATTTATTACAATAATTAAACTTTGTTTCATGGCTTCAATAATAACAATAAAAAATTAACTTTTTAAATCTATATATATAACACAGAAATTTCTTAATGTAATTTATTTATCTATTATTATAACATATTATGTTTATTATTGCTAATATGTTTTTATTTTGTAAATTTTTACATAGATTGTGATAATTTTCGTGCGTTATAATTTTTTTTTTAATATAAACATTTTTTCTTGCGTATATTTTTTACGTCATATTTTGATTGTGATTAAAATTATTTATTTGGTCAAACTAACAATATAGAAAAAATCTTACCTGACAGTCACTAGTATAGAGCACATACACTTAAACAACCGCATCATAAAAAAGGTGATACTGGAATAATTAAAATACTGTCTCCAACTCTATTTATATAGGTATATTCGTATGTATGATTACCTTTAATCTGACGTCTGTATTATTTGATTACCACAATTCAACTGGTAATAATTTATTAATATAAACATTTACAACCGCATTTTTTTATAGAATCATATTATGCCCTTTATAAGGCTCAGGGCTTTTATAGCGTCAATTTAAGTGGCAATAACAAATAATCTAATAATAGTGTTAGAATTAGGCTATATGGCAAGGGGGTAAATTAAATAATTTTTGCAGGCCTATATATAGAATCTTAAATGTACTCTTCATTGATAATTTAATAAATTTTAACAATAATTTTATATATAGGTTATGCCAAAATAAATCCTGGGAACTCAAAATTTCAAGAAAGGGATTTTTTATACTACTAAAAAAGGAAAAAAAAACAGTCAAATCAATTTAACATTTTAATTTTATTTATATGAACAAAAGTATAAATGTATAGATAAGTTATTAATTAGGCAAATAATTCTTAATAAAGTTTTTCTATGTCACACACTTCTCAACAAGACAATGTGAAGCAACGATTTTTTTGTAAAAATCAACAGATTTTTTTGCTGTTCTTGTCCTGTTTGGACTCGAAAAATCTACGTGGTAGAGACCGAATTTCATTCTAAAAAAAAACAGAAAAAGTTTTCTATAATATTTAGTTTTTGAAAAATATAAATATACGCTTACGTATAGCCAAATAACCATTCGTAGTTATCTAGTAAACTCCAAGCAATATAGCCAGAAACATTCACTTTATCTGTGTGTATGGCTTCCAAAATGGCGCTCAAATATTCCTGAAAAATAATAAATATGTGTACACCTTGTATATAAATTAACTATAACTCACAGTATAATAATGAATTCTGACGTCATCTTCCAAACTGTCATCTGAAAGTCCGTTTTCTGTGATGATAATTTCAGGGTTATTGTAGGTATTTTTAAGCCAACTCAAAAACTTTCTTGTGCCCCATGGAACAATCTAAAAAAATTGCAAAATTACAAAACAACTTCCTGCGGTTTAAAAAAAAAGTCTTACATTTATCCAATCAGAACTGGTGGTTTCCCAAGTGGGGTCTTTATAGGTTAAGGACCCCGTATCCTGCTCAAAGCCGGTTTCATTAAAACTGGGCTCTTGGATTTTTCTGACCATTGAGGTCGTGTACGTGTTGTAGCCCACGAAATCGTAGGTACCCTTGATGTACTCCACTTCTTCCTCCGTAAACTTGGGTAGTCTTGACTTGGCGTAACCTTCTTTTTTACTTCTGTATTCCACCCTGTCTATCACGACCTGAGGCCAATTGCCGAGGAATATGGCATTCGCATACAATCCAAACTGCAAAAAAGAAGGTTAAAATATATACAGGGTGACCTGAAAATTATTATTATGGTACAAAAATGCATTTTATGAGAAGATATCGACTATTCTACAAAGTATAATTATTTTTATATTTTGAAACAAAGTTTTATTGCAAAAATTAGTTTCAAAGTACAAAAAGTTTTTTTTGTGAAAAATTTTAATTATTATTACTATTAAATTAAGATTTTTTTTAATTTTTTTGTCATCGCTTTTTTAATTCAATTTTATCGTAAAAATGATTCAAATAGTCCAACAAAATGTTTTTGTGACTATTTCACTAGACTATTTTTAAGTGATAAAATGTCATAGTAACGTCACGTTTTCCACTGACAAAACTCTTGCCCGTGATTTCTCAGCTACAAAATTATGGTTTGGTACTTCAATTGTTGTCAGTTTGACAAACAATAAAATTAAAGTTGTTTTGATATTATTACAAATCCGTCACCAAAGTGTTTTATACTTCTATTGTTGCCAGTTTGACAAACGTCATTGTGAAATAATGAATCCACGCGCAAATTCACGATTTGGGTGCCATTCAGATGAACAAATAAAAAAATTGGTTTCAGAAAATATCCCATTAAATACTCAAAGGTCCAAAAGCTCTATTTGGACCCAATTCTTAGAATTCCTACGGGTGAGAAATTTTACACTGGAAAAATGTACTACCGCGACGGAACTAGCAAAAATTCTGGAAGATTACGCCTTTAATATGAAAAAATGCAATGGCGAAGACTATAAAGAGTCGTCTCTAAAGTCTATGTGGAATTCAACTGAAAAAATGCTACAAGAAAAATATTTCACGGAATACGGCATAAAAATCGATCCTTTCAAGGATATATCTTTCAAATGTTCAAGATTGGCCAGAGATACCAAGCGAAGGCAGCTTCAAAGTTGCCCAGAAAAAAGAAAACTTAGTTCAAAAGCATTATCCACCGAAGAACTTTTAAAAATGATCCAAAGCTACGACGAAGAAACCCCCGATGAAGCACAGAACAAGTTTTTTCACCTCTGCTCATATGAACTTGCTTGGAGAGGCAATGAGGCCGTAAATTGCAAGATTCACTTTTTCCAGAAGGAATTTAATAATATGGGAGAATTTACGGGCCAAATTGAATACAACAGCATTTTTTCGAAAACACCTCAAGGCGGATCGAAAAGTTTGGCAAGCAGCAAATGGTTGGTAAGAAATTTATCAGACTTTTTCTTACCGTTCACCCCAACTGGAAGAATGGATCTTGGTTCAAAAACTGTCCACTTGGAATCAACATCGCATCTAAATGGACAAAGATGTCAGCTGAAAAAATTGGAATAGACACAAAAAAACATAAAATAACAAACCATTCGCATCGATCTTCAGCTGTGTCAGCCTTGTTTAAGCAAGGTGTTGCTGAACAGGAGTTAATTAAATTAACGGGTCACTCAAATGCAAGCTCCCTAAAACCATACTTGCAGCTGGATTCTAGTCACCACCAGAAGTTGATCGAAAATTTCCGAAGAAATGAAGCTGGACCTTCGAGTTCCCACATGCTACAGGTCAATAATACACAAAATCGTGCTTTGGTAGAAAAGAATGGGCAAACTACCATAACATATAATAATTGTACATTTAATATTAACAAATAAATTAAGATTACAAGTTTCGTTAATATGGTGCATTTTTTCTCGCGAAATAGTCTTGTCGAATATCACTCGAGAGAAAATTTTTACCGGAAAAATTTTCTTCTGGTTTTATTCAAGTTTGTTGCTTTTTGAAATTTTGACAAAATCCCGAGACGTCAGTCGAGGGATTTTGTCAAAATATCATGAGCGAAAATTGCCAAGCAACAAACTTTCATACCAGTCGAAAATTTGTGATATTATATACGAAAAATATTTACTAAAAATCATTTCTATTGTAAAATTTAACAAAATAAAATCGTGGTTGCTTACAGAGAACTGTCTTCTCGTCTCTGCCGCCTCCAAATCACTTTTCTTGTCCGTAGCAGGCTCATACCATTCGCTATCTATAACAATCGAAATCCTGCCCCCTTGCTTGCCCCTGAATTCGTCATCGTAAATGTGCCAGGCTTTAGCATGGGCCTTTATAACTGTATAGGCACATAGGTAGTCGGCCACGCCCGATGAGTTAATCAGGGGGGCCATGTTAGCACTCCCGTAGCCCAGTTGACATATCTGATGGGGTTCGTTGATGGTGAACCAGGTTTTGACTGAATCCCCGAAAGCTTCAAAGCAGATTCTCGCATAGTTACCGAAATGATCTGCCAGGATATCGTTGGGCCAACCCCCGATGTCTTGGAGGGGTTGGGGGAGGTCCCAATGGTACAGGGTAGCCATGGGTTCGATGCCATTGTCCTGCAGCTCTTTGATGAGGTTTTTGTAGTACTGTATTCCAGCCTTGTTGACTTTATTGGTGAACCCAGTGGGTAGAATTCTGGGCCAGGATATGGAAAACCTATACGCTTTAACCCCCAAATCTTTTAAAAGTCTCACATCCTCTCGGTATTTGTGATAGGAATCACAAGCTATGTCACCGTTATCACTGTTTTTAACAGCTGTGGGGTTGGTGTGGGTTAAACGGTCCCATATGTTCTCGCCTTTCCCATCTTCATTCCATGCCCCTTCAATTTGATACGATGCTGTGGCAGTCCCAAATTTAAATGACGCTGGGAAGGATTTATTACTGACCGCTGCAGCTAAACTAAAAATTACCGAAAAATTAGTATCCACCAAATTACAAGTAAAATTTCCATAACAAAGATTTGGATATTTTTTTCTAAATATAGACATTTTTCTAGCTTTAAATTTAGTACTGAAAACTAAAAATATGGAAAAAATCTTACCTGACAGACGATAGTATATAGCACATACACTTAAACAACTGCATAATAAACTATGTGTGTACTGCTATGATTTAAAAAAAAGTGTCCCCCTAAGATATTTATATAAGTACACTTTAATCTGACGTCTGTAATATTTAATGAAAACACTTCAACTTGCTATAATTTTTTAATATACATAATTACGACCGTATTTATATTTTCAATATAAGTACCAAGAATTTCGCTATATGGCAAGGGGTAAATTAAATATAGAATATATATAGAATTTCAAATGTACTTTTCATTGATAATTTGATAAATTTGAACAATAATTTAATGTAATGATAGCTTATACTTAATTTTATCGAAATGTGAGAAGGCAACAATTATATTTAGAATTGCTAAAAAGTGACGGCCAGATTTTTTTATTTATTTTTAAAAATCATTTAATTACCTTCCAATTGAAGTAGATAAAGTATATAGTATACTCGAGATTATGCGAATCTTGCCTCACGTAGGTTAGGATTTCATATGTTTTTTTAAAACACCCTTTGTATATTTGAAATAAGTTATTGTATCTTTTGACACCTTAAGATTTTTAAAAAATACAATTGTACATAAATAAAATATTTATAAAAAAAATCTACTTACTGAGATATTACACTTCACGGAGAATAGGTTTTTAAATGGCAAATTAATGAACTTAAACTTTTGAATTATAAAACAGCAACACTCTCATCTGCATATAAATTCTAACTGACCTTCAGGAATCACATGCATCTATAATGTCGTAAACAGAGGTTTTTGCTTATTTAAAATGATTAAAGCGCCATCCGTTGCATAAAATTTAAAGCAAAAACAGATTCACGGAGGATAGAATCAGTTTTTGTAACACCTACATAAATGGTTATAAAAATTATTTCTTTTAATTTTTAATAATATTTTATATTTGATTCGATTGCTTTGGATGTGTTAAATTTACTTAGTGAACTGATATTTTTAGTATGCTTTTACTACCTCAGATATTTAAAAACATATTTATACAAAATTTAATAGTAATAATAATAAGTTTATTTTTAATTATTTTTATTATAATTATACCTATTCATAATTTTATTAATTTATAATATTTATTTTTGTAATTTAACGTATACGTGATATTTGGTATTTTATAAATAAATATCTGTAAAATAATTAAAAATTTAAATTTGGTAAAATTACTGTGGTTTTTACGTCAAAATTTTAACCAAAAATGTTAATTTGATTTAATTTAAATCCTAAAAATAGGTTTTTTTGTTATTTGTTTAAAAACAAAATTTTTATTTTAATACATTTAAATATTAACGTGTTAAATAAAAATTTTAAATTTAATAATTTGCATAAAAGTCGTCGTACACCTTGTATAAAAAAACCTTAGGTTATAAAATCAATAATTTCTTAAATTGTAACTGTCATTAATCAACCAAAAAATTCTAGTAAATATCATTCCACATGTTGTTATCAAAATTATCATGTATATTAAATGTGCAAAATCATCACCAATCTTTTAAAAAAATCTACTTCTTATGCCCGCAACTAAAAAAATTATCGCAGAGCTGCCAGGTCGAAAAACCGAAGAAATCATGTTCCAACCAGAGGATTACCCACGAGGGAGAAAAAGTCACTTTACACCCGACGATATTTCCAATGAACCCAGCCGATATGGCAGCTTGCAGTAAGACGACCAACGTTTGTTGCAACATGCTGCAAAATCAATGCAAGAAGTTACCGAAAGTGCAATGCAAAAAGTTGCCCAGAATAATGGAGGGCTGCCCGGATGAAAATGAGAGTATTACTGTACCCCAAATATGTAAACGAAAAAATAAAAATAACAATAGAAGATAATAAATTTGTTAAAAAATAAACTACGCAATTAAAAAATGCATTGTTTATTATTTTTAATGGGAAAAATACCTTCATTATCAGACCCTTCACAAACAAAACAAAAAATACCTTTAAGTGCCACTTAATTACTATTTTAACCGTTAAGTGAAGAGTACAAATTTAATCAATGATTTTAACCTTTGCTAAAGTTGACAAACGCTGTCTTTAATTTAATTTAAATCTTAATTTTTATTTTTATGATTATTATTACTAGTAATACCACTAGAGGTCAAATTATTTCCGGAAATTTTTTCGAGCTCATGAAATATTCATGAGGGAGAAAAAATTTCCGGATTTACGTAATTTGACCTCGTGTGGTATTCGGTAAGAAAATTCCACACCAAATTGTGTTTAAATAATTAAAATTTATTTTTTGATTTTACTTGACCTCGACTTGATTATTTAGTTACCATGGCAACTAAGTCAACCCCAACCTAAAAGTTATTCGCCAGGAGATTAAGCAGTTGACACCCGCGAATACTAGTATTCAAAATTCAAAGTGCTAAATGGAAAAACGGTGAATAGAATAGTGTCTAAATATTATATATATTTCATTAGACATAGACATTTAATTCATTCCATTCCAAGTCCTGCATTTTCGCCATTAAGAAGAAAGGTGTCCAAATAATATAGAAAACATTTTAGGTTTGTAATTGAAATGTATGAAAATTGACCATATGCAAGGAATGCGGTCGATGTTGCCAATGGTAAAAAAATAAAATTCCCTATTGGAAACATTCAATTATATTACGTTGGCTACACTGAAATTTTGAATTTCCCGCACAAACTGACATACATTCTAGTAGTTCCCAGAGATAAAGAAGGTACCTAGTTCCAATGTTGTATAATAAATTAAGGTGCGAATTTTAAATGTGGGAATTATTATTATTTATTATTATTAAAAAAAAAGATGGAAATTAATTTAGTTTGTGCGGGAAATTCAAATTTTCAATGTAGCCAACGTAATATAATTGAATGTTCCCAATAGGGAATTTTATTTTTTATTGGCATTGGCATTGGCAACATCGACCGCATTCCTTGCATATGGTCAATTATCATGTAAACAAATGAAAACCAGATTGTCAAAAAAATATTCTGTCATTATAAACGTCAAAAAATTTCCAGTATAATTCGCTGTTGGGTACCCACGAGAAAAAAAATTTCCACTAAAATTCATCCATGCCATGGTGATCTGTCAAAAATACACGTTTTGATGGGTTAAAAATTACAGGTGTGTGAATTTTCATTGTAATTTTAATTGATATTTTAAAAATAAAAAAAAATTAAAATTAATACACAAGAATGCCAAATGACAGATGTCAAAAATGACAGAGGTAAAAAAAATTATGGATGACAGAAAAAAATTCAAATTATACTGATTTTGACAGTTGTCAATAATAAAGACGTCAAAAGTGACAAACTTATACAATTATAAATGACAGGTGTCAAAAATAATAAAAAACTAATGTCAAGAATGAAAAATGACAGATGTTTCAGGACAGTTGTAAAAATTACAGAAAACATGTCGAAAAAACACAGATGAAATTTTTTTTTCGAAATATTCTGATTTCGTCAGGTGATAAAAGACGTCAAAAGTGTCAAATGTATCGGACAACAAATATCAAAAATGACAAATTACTATGTCAAAAGTGACAGGACAGTTGTAAAAATGACTGAAAACAAATGTCAAAAATGACATGGATAAAAAAATTATCATTAAGTTCTATTTATTCTGATTTCAACAGGTGTCAATAATAAGAAACGTCAAAAGTGACATGTCTAAAATTATAGATGACAGATGTCAAAAATAATGTAAAGAATGACAAATGACAGATGTCAACATTTTCAGGACAGTTGTAAAAATTACAGAAAATTGATAGATGACAGAATTTTTTTTAAATATTATGATTTTGACAGGTGTCAATAATAAATGACGTCAAAAGTGACAAAACTATAAAATTGAAGGCAGGTGTCAAATACAACTGAAAAAAAATGTCAAGAATAACAGATGTAGAAAGTGACAACATAGTTGTAAAAATGACACAAAACAAATGTTAAAAATGACAGGTAAGTTCGAATATTTCCACAGGTGTCAATAATAAAAGACATCAAAAGTGACAAATGTCTAAAATTATAGATGACAGATGTCAAAAGTTTCAGGACAGTTGTAAAAATTTCAGAAAACAAATGTCAAAAAAATGACAGATGACAAAATAATTTGAAATATTCTGATTTTGACTGGTGCGAATAATAATAGACGTCAAAATTATAGAAAATAGGTGTCAAATATAACGGAAGACAAATGTCAAGAATGACAAATTACAGATGTCAGAAGTGACGACAGTTGTAAAATGACAAACAAACGTCAAAAATGACATGAGTAAAAAATGACAATGATGGAGAAAAGTTCGACTTATTGATTTCGACAGGTGTCAAAAATAAGAGACGTCAAAAGTGACAAATGTCTAAAATTATAGATGTCGGTAATAATGGAAAACAAAAGTCAAGAATGACAGATGTCAAAGTTGTAAAAATAACAGAAAATAAATGTTAAAAAAATGAAAGATGACAGAAAAAATTTCGAAATATTTTGGGTTTTTATAATAAAAGACGCCAAAAGTGACAAAAGTCTATCATCAAATATAACTGGAAAAAAATGTCAAGAATGACAGATGTAGAAAGTGACAGGAAAACAAATGTCAAAAAAATGACAGACGAAAAACAAATTTTTGAAATATTTTGATTTCGACAGTTGTCGATAATAAAAGACGTCAAAAGTGACAAATGTCTAAATTCATATGACAAATGACAGATATAAACAGTTTCAGGACAGTTGTAAAAATTACAGAAAACAAATGTCAAAAAAATGACAGAAAAATGTTCGAATTATTCTGATTTCGACAGGTGTCAATAATAAAAGACGTCAAAAGTGACAGAAGTCTAAAATTGGTGTCAAATATAACTGACATTTTTTTCAAGAATGGCAGATGTAGAAAGTGACAGGACAAAAGTAAAAATGACAGAAAATTAATGTCAAAAATGACAGAAAATTAATGTCAAAAATGGCAGAAAATTAATGTCAAAAATGACAGGTAGAAAAATGGCAATTACAGAAATGTCTAAAATTATAGATGACAGATGTCAAAAGTTTTAGGACAATTGTAAAAAGTACAAAAAACAAATGTCTAAAAATGATGAATGAAAAATAAATTTTCGAAATATTCTGCTTTAGACAGTTGTCGATAATAAAAGACGTCAAAAATGACAGCTGTCTACATGTCCATAGTTATAGAAGACAGGTGTCAAATATAACGGAAAACAAATGTTAAGAATGACAAATTACAATGTCAAGAAAGAAAAATGACAGATGTCAAAAATTTCAGGATAGTTGTGTAAAAACAGAAAACAAATTTCCGAAAATGACAGATGTCACTTTTTTTTAAATATTCCGATTTTGACAGTTGTCGACCAAAGGTCTAAAATTATAGATGACAGGTGTCAAAAATGTCAAATGTCAGTTGTGTAAAATATAACGGAAATCAAATGTCAAGAATGACAAATTACAATGCCAAGAACGAAAAATGACAGATGTCAAAAATTTCAGGACAGTTGTGAAAAAACAGAAAACAAATTTCCGAAACATTTTTTTAATATTCTGATTTTGACAGTTGTCGAGCAAAGGTCTAAAATTATAGATGACAGGTGTCAAAAATGTCAAATGTCAGTTGTGTCAAATATAACGGAAATCAAATATCAAGAATGACAAATTACAATGTCAAGAAAGAAAAATGACAGATGTCAAAAATTTCAGGACAGTTGTGAAAAAACAGAAAACAAATTTCCGAAAATGACAGATGTCAAACATTTTTTTTTAATATTCCGATTTTGACAGTTGTCGACCAAAGGTCTAAAATTATAGATGACAGGTGTCAAAAATGTCAAATGTCAGTTGTGTCAAATATAACGGAAATCAAATGTCAAGAATGACAAATTACAATGTCAAGAAAGAAAAATGACAGATGTCAAAAATTTCAGGACAGTTTTGAAAATTACAGAAAATAAATTTCCGAAAATGACAGATGTCAAACATTTTTTTAAATATTCTGATTTTGACAGTTGTCGAGCAAAGGTCAAAAATTGTAGATGACAGGTGTAAAAAATGTCAAATATCAGTTGTGTAAAAGATCAAATGTCAAGAATGACAAATTACAATGCCAAGAACGAAAAATTACAGATGTCAAAAATTTCAGGGCAGTTGTAAAATTTTCAGAAAACAAATTTTCGAAAATGACAGATGTCAAACATTTTTAAAAAAAATATTCTGATTTTGACAGTTGTCGAGCAAGTTGTGTCAAATATAACGGAAATCAAATGTCAAGAATGACAAATTACAATGCCAAGAACGAAAAATGACACATTTCAAAAATTTTAGGACAGTTGTGAAAATTACAGAAAACAAATTTCCGAAAATGACAGATGTCAAACATTTTTTTTTAATATTCTGATTTTGACAGTTGTCGACCAAAGGTCTAAAGTTATAGATGACAGGTGTCAAAAATGTCAAATGTCAGTTGTAAAAATTACAGAAAACAAATGTCAAAAAAATGACAATGACAGAAAAAAATGTCGAAGTATTTTGATTTCGAGATTTGTCAATAATAAAGGACGCCAAAAGTGTCAAATAATACGGAAAACAAATGTCGAAAATGGCAGATGTCAAAAGTGCAAAAATGTCAAAAATGACATATTCGCACACGCCCACTAAAATGTTGAGAGGATTAAAGGATATTAATAAATAAAACACGTTTTAGTGAAATTATAGATTGTATTATTATGAACCCTAAATCTATACAAATTCAAATACAAGTCGCACGACAACAAAAATCCTAACCTAAAACTTAAACTCCTTATACTTCTTCTGCTGCTTGGTATCCTGCTGCGCCCTCTTGCGTTTACTCTGCAAAACGAACAAAACAAGATAAAAAACAAAACAATTTTTTCGACCCAACACTCACCTTCTGCTTAGCCACGTGCTCCGCCAGCATATCGCTGAGGTCCTCCTTCTGCAGCTGCGACTGGTTTTCCCGCATCTGCTGCTCGTACCTCACCGCCATCGCGTCGCTGTCCATGTCCAACTCTGAGGGGTCCAGCGCCAACTCAACCATACCTAAAGTATTCATTTATTTAATTTTTTTTTTATTAAAAAAAAACAGAGTTGGAAAAAAATAAAAAAAAAGTTAGCAAGAAATTTTTTTTTTTTTTTTCACTATCACCTTCTCTGTCAGAGGGCTTTCTAGACACAGACTGCGGGGGGTTGTTGGCCAGCTGCGACAAGTCGTAGACATGCGCGCTGCCCATCATGGACCCCCCGATGCGTTGGTTCTGCTTTTCGGGCACGATGTGGTACAAAACCGGAGTCTCCGCCCCGTCCATCTCGTTCTCGATCTTCTTCTTCCTCAACTCTATCGCCTCCGGGGTCTCCATACCCGCCGGTATGCTGGTGAGGCCCGAGGGGGTCACCAGACCCTCCGCCGGGGTCACCAACCCCGACTCGTCGGCGGGGGCGGCTTGCTCCTCCCCGCCCGCCTCCTCTTCCTCCTCTTCTTCCGATTCCTCCTCGGATTCTGATTCCAACTCGCCCCACAGCGAGCGATCCACGCTGGGGTCTTCGCCTATATCCTAAATCATAAAAAAATTGTACGGGGTTCACCACACGACAAGTCTAGCACTCACGTCAACGTTGGTGACGTTGGTTCCGAAGACGTCGCCGTACAGCGGTTTGCCGTTTTCGTCCACAGGTGGTTTACCCCATCCTCCGGCGTGGTAACCAAAGGAACAACCATCCGGAATTGGCCCGTTCAAACCTGGAATCTTCAGGTTTGGATAGCTGGGAGGTGGGCCGTACCTAACGAGGATATGGAAAAATTAACAGAAAAACGTCTGCGACTTTTTATTAAGAATAATACCAAGAAGAATATCCAATAAACATTTAAATGTCAAAAACAAATTACAAAAAGCAGGGAATGTAAATCTTACTTAAGAATGTCAAAATCATACTTAGAATACCAAAGAAACCAATTCGTTAAAAACACCTATATTAAAAACTTTATTTTTATAATATTTGTAGATTTTTATTTTTAAGATAAAAATATTTTGTAAAATTTTAATATGTTTGTAGCCAAAATTTTAACATTTTCTACAAACGTTTAAAAACCGATATTTGAGAATGTCAAACTTACCTAAGAATGTCAAATCATATTAAGAATACCAACATACTAAATCGTCAAAAATATTTTTATAATTGTCAAAAAACTTCTTAAAAAGTAACCAAAACCTTGAGATTTTTAATAAGAATACTACAAAAAATGACAAACATTTAGAAACCCATATTTGGAAATGTCAAACTAACTAAAAACATACTTAAGAATGAAAAAACACAAATTGAAATGATGAAAAACCCAATGAATGCCAAAACATTTAAAAATAATATTTAAGAATGTCAATCTTACTAAAATTTTTAAAATTTACTTAAATGTAAAAAATAAATAAAAATAACGGCAATAAAAATTGCATAAAAACAAAAAATAAGGGCGCCAAATCGTTAATTTAATAAAAAAGGGACAGATGTCTATAATTATAGAAGACAAGTGTCAAAAATAACTGAAAAAAGAGCAAACAAGACAAATACATATTACAAATACAAATTACAGAAAACAAATGTCAAAAATGACAGGTAAAACATGGCAATGACAGAAAAGTTCGAATAATTCTGATTTCGACCTGTTGGTGTCAATGAAAAAAGTCAAAAATGACAGATGTCGAAAGTGACAGGAGAGTTGAAAAATTGACAGAAAACAAATGTCAAAAATGACAGAGGTCAAAAATGTCAAAAATATAAAAGATTTAAAAAAATTTGGATTTATTCTGATTTAGGCAGGTGTTAAAATAATGGAAAACAAATGTCAAGAATAAAAAATGACAGATGTCAAAAATTAAAAAAAAAATGTCAAAAAAATTACATTTGACAGAAAAAAATTGAATTATTCTGATTTCAACAGGTGTCAATAACAAAAGACGTCAAAAGTGACATTACATTAAAAAAAATAACAGAAAAAAAGTGTCAAAAATGACATGGGTAAAAAAATGACAATGACAGAAAAAAGTTCAAATTATTTTGATTTTAACAGGTGTCAATAATAAGAAACGTCAAAATGACAAGTGTCTAAAGTTATAGATGACAGGTGCTAAAAATATTGAAAAACAAATGTCAGGAATGAAAAATGACAGATGTCAACAATTGTAAAAATTAAAAAAAACAAACGTCAAAAAAATTAATTATAACAATTTTTTTTTAAATTATTCTGATTTTGACAGGTCTCAATGAAAAAAGACATCAAAAGTGACAGAAATCTAATATTTAAGACGACAAGTGTCAAAAATAATTGAAAAAAAAATGTCAAGAATGACAGATGTCAAAATTGACAGGACAGTTGAAAAAATGACAGAAAACAAATGTTAAAAATGACAGAGATAAAAAAATTGTAATGACAGAGAAAATGATCCTGATTTCAAGGTGTCGATAATAAAAGAAGTCAAAAGTGTCAAATATAGCGGAAAACAAATGTCAAGAATGGCAAATACAGATGTAAAAGTTAAAGAAACCAAATGTCAAAAAAATGAAAGATGACAGAAAAAAATCGAATTATGATTTTGACAGGTGACAATGACAAAAGACGTCAAAAGCAAAACATCAAAAATGACAGGTAAAAAAATGAGAATGGCAAAAAATTCTTACCTTTGCATTGCAATAAGCCACGGAGGGGGCACTTTATTGGCATTGGGCCCCACTGGCATGCCCAGGGCTGTCCGCAACTCTTCCGATAAATCGCCGGGTTTTTTTTCCTTCAGACGCGTTTCGAATTCCTTACCCTCGTAGTAAAGATCCCCGTGGATGGTCATTTTCGGCTTCGTTTGCCACCTTAAAAACACGAATTAACCGAAACGTTTTCACCGCAAAAACGAAAAACCTACTTGAAAAAAGCGTCGTGCAACTTTTGATAGTCGATGTCGATTTTACCGAGCTTCGGTCGCGCCCTCTCGCGCATTTTCGCCTTTAACGTCTTGGACTCGTCTTTGTCTTGTAGCGAGGCTCTCATCTCCATAATGCCGGTTTTTTTTATGAAATCCGGCAGGTTAAACGGCGGTTTTTCGATACCCCTTTTCCCTTGCAAATACTTGCGTTTGAAGCACCAGTGTCTCGGCACTTGCACGGTGTTCCTGTGCGCTTTCAGCTGCACAAGCAGCTTCGGATCCCTAGCCGTCACATCGTGCATTTCCACCACGTCGGGCCTGTGCACCAGCTGTTTCAACTCCGCCACGCTCAAACGCGTCAATTTTTTTAGCTTTCTCTTGGACATTTTCGACTTGTCGTCCAGTTTTTTCTGCAGCAGCAAATTGTTGGGTTGAAATGCATTTTTGTGTGGTACAATTTTTTTAAATCAAAAGCCTTTTGATATGAAAACAGTAAACATAAACTTAAATTTTACTTTCAATTAATATTTTGAGTGTCAAATTAAAAATGTTATTCCATGTTAGTCCATTTTATTTAAATAAGTAGGTATATCAACACTAAACGTATATTGAATAAATAATGTTAAGTAATTTGAATAAATCATTTTTCTATTAGTTAAATGGATAAACAAAAAAATAGGATTAAATATACAGGGTGTTAATAAATTAAAAAAAAACATAAAATGCTTCAAAACAGATGTACAATTATTTATACTTTTGGTCATAATTTATAAAAAAATATTGTCAAAAAAAGGGTTTGCCATGGAAAAATTCAAATCAAATATACAGGGTGTTAATAAAATGGGAAAATATAAAATGAAGATATTTTTAGAGTAATTTTTATATATTTTGACCAAAAGAATAAATATATCTAATTCTCTATTGAAGCAATTTTTTTTAATTTATTAATACTCTGTATATTTTGTTTTGGTAAACCCATTTTTTTACAATATTTTTCATAAATAGTGTCAAAAAGAATAAAAAGTAATATTTTTATAAATTTTGTCCTAATAATCTCTTGAAGCATTTTTTTCTTCTAATTTATTAACTCTCTGTATATGTGATCTGATTTTTTTATGGTAAACCCATTTTTATACAATATTGTCCTAACGCTCTCTTGAAGTATTTTTTCTTCTAATTTATTAACACTCTGTATATTTGATTTGATTTTTTTATGGAAAACCCATTTTTTTACAATATTTTTCATAAATTGTGTCAAAAAGAATAAAAAATAATATTTTTATAAATTTTGTCCTAATTCTCTCTTGAAGCATTTTTTTCTTCTAATTTATTAACATTCTGTATATTTGATCTAATTTTTTATGGTAAACCTATTTTTTTACAATATTTTTCATAAATTGTGTCAAAAAGAATAAAAATAATATTTTTATAAATTTTGTCCTAATTCTCTCAAATTTATAAACACTCTGTATATTTGATATGATTTTTTTATGGTAAACCCTTTTTTGTCAATATTTTTCATAAATTGTGTCAAAAAGAATAAAAAATATTATTTTTATAAATTTTGTCCTAATTCTCTCTAATTTATAAACACTCTGTATATTTGATATGATTTTTTTATGGTAAACCCATTTTTTTACAATATTTTTCATAAATTGTGTCAAAAAGAATAAAAAATATTATTTTTATAAATTTTTTCTTCTAATTTATCAACACTCTGTATAATTGATTTTATTTTTTATGGTAAACCCATTTTTTACAATATTTTTCATAAATTGTGTCAAAAAGAATAAAAAATAATATTTTTATAAATTCTCTCTTAAAGCATTTTTTCTTATAATTTATTAACACTCTGTATATTTGATTTGATTTTTTTATGGTAAACCCATATTTTTATAATATTTTTCATAAATTGTGTCAAAAAGAATAAAAAATAATGTTTTTATAAATTTTGTCCTAACTCTCTCTTAAAGCATTTTTTTCTTTAACACTCTGTATATTTGATCTGATTTTTTTATGGTAAACCAATTTTTTACAATATTTTTCAAAAATTGCGTCAAAAAGAATAAAAAATAATATTTTTATAAATTTTGTCCTAATTCTCTCTTGAAGCATTTTTTTCTTGTAATCTTGTAATTTATTAACACTGTGTATATTTGATCTGATTTTTTTATTGTAAACCCATTTTTGTACAATATTTTTTATAAATTTTGTCAAAAAGAATAAATAATGATACCACTTCTCTCCTACAGCATTTTTGTTTTCCCAATTTATTAACACCCTGTATACCTGATCTGATTATTTTTTTATGGTAAACACATTTTTTTGACAAGCAGAATGTTTAATAGGGAAATTTGTTTTCTATAGTATTCTAATAAATTTGTGTTTTTCTAATAAAGTTTTTTTAAATAAATTTTATATTTTATTCAACCTTTCCATGTAGTTACTTGGTTCCATTATTTAATATTTTAATTATTTGATTGAACTAACAATTTTTTTTTTAACTTTAATATTTGTTTAATCATTTTTATTTTTCAGTGGACCAAAATGATTTATAAAATCGCGTTAAAAACACTTTTTAAAATGATAAAAATTGTAATAAAACTGCAATAAAACTTTTTGATCATTACATAAAAATTACTTACGTCATCCATGTCTTCATTTTCGTCCTGAAAATCGTCGCCCAGAGCACTTGGCAGTTTACTGGACAACGAAGTAGGAGTAGCCAACATGGGAGGTGGCAAATCAGACTTTTGATCCGATATTTTGAAAGACTCGAAAATCGAGTAAAACTGTCTGTATTGAGGCGCCAACTCGTGCAAACCAATCGATTCTTGAACATATTCAACCTCAACATCAGGTTGATCGGGCAACTCAACATCGCCATTCTCTTTTTTGCTTTCATTTTCCGCTCTCTGTTTTACCTCATCCTTTTTGTTCTTCTTACGCTTTTTTTTCTTTTTATTTTTGCTTATTCTCGCCTCATTTTTATCCTTTTCTTTGCCATTCAATTCCAACTCCTGAATAACCTCCTAAAATTAAAAAAAAACATTTTCAACCTCTTAAACTTATAATTTACCCATATTTACCACATTATCATCTTTCTCCCACAAAGGTTCCCTCTCCCCCTCCTTTGTTTTGCCCCCTTCACTACCTCCGCTCTCTTCCGTTCCCAACTCCAAAGCCCGTTGGTTTTTTAACGCTAAAACCTCTTCAAGTGCTGCAGGTAGCACAACCTCCCCACTCCCCTCCACCAACTGTTCAGGGGGGTCGACTTTAAGACTCAAAAGCGACGGTAATTGCTTTTCATTAACAGGGGGGGGCTGCATGAAAAACTGACCCCCCTGGGGGGGAAACCCCGGCGGCGGCACACTCATACCTTCCGTGGGCGGGGGGCCTTGCAGCATTTGCCCCTGAGGCGGCATTTGCATCATATCGGGGTTCATTAGAACCGGCGGAGGAATCTAAGACAAACAACGGCTCAACATAACCTAAAAAATACGCAAAACGTTGTACTTACGCCGCTGTCACCGTCCATTTTGCAATTATTTGCTTGCCAAGTCACTCTACAATTTATAAACTATCATCTAAACGCATAATTCTACGGATTTTTAAGGTATTTACGTGTTTTTCGCGAAAATAATACAGTAAACACGAAATGTCAAACAATTTGACGCAAACTTGATAAAGTTAAAATCCCCTAGATTAACAAAAATCCCTAGATTTCTCATACCATTATGATGCCAACTATTTACTTATAAACTTATAAACAATCAATTAAACGGATTTGTAAAGTATTTTTGTATTTTTTTAGAAAATAAAACAATAATTCCGAAATATTAAACAGTCCGACGTAAACCTGATAAAGTTAAAATCCCCTAGATCAATAAAAATCACCATTCATCAAATAATAGTTCAAATGTACCCAAAAAACGTGTTCAACCTAACCTATAAAAATCGTAAATAAACTCGTGTTTTTGTCAGGTTTGTGCGCTAATTTTACCTAACAAACTCAACTAAAGATGGATTTTAAAAGCGAGGTACCTCAAAAGACAAAAATATCTCGCCAAACTAATATTAAATTACTTTTTGCCATTTTCAGATGTTCGAAGATATGATAGATGAAGATTCCGGCAATGAAGATGATTCTGACGAAATTTCAGAGGATGAAAACCAAGAACAGTCATCGAATAGCAAACGAAAATCATCCCTGGATAAATCAGGCGTTAAAAAAGTTAAATATGACGACATTACTGATAAAACAAAGAACAAAAATAAAGGTTTGTACAAACCACCGACTGTAGAGGAACTGAATGAGTTGAAGGAGACTGAAAATCTTTTTAACAACAATTTGTTCCGTCTGCAGATCAAAGAGTTGGTGGCTGAGATTGAAATAAAAAATAAACGTAAGAAATTCATTGAAACGTGGTTCAAACAATTTCAGGCGGTTATAGGTAAAATAAATGAGTATGAGGGTGTTATGTTGTCGAAAATTAAACCTCAAGGGAAGAAAAAGAGGAAATTTTTGGATAATTTGGCAAGTAAATACGTAAATTACATTAAAACTGACCAAGATTTGGAGTTAAAGTTTGTTAGGCCGGATAGTGTTGAAGCGTTTGGTTTGTTTGAGTGTAAATCGTTGCCGGGGCCGCAATTGGAGTATAAAATAAATCTTAAGATACCCAAATCTTGCTTCCATTTAAAAGATTTCTTGAATAATAGATATTTGGTCAAAAGGTATTACTATCTTTTGTATATATTGGAAGAAATATCTTCCTGTGATATAATTGATGATGTTTCGGTGATGTATCATGAAGATAACTATTTGTTGCCCATTTTGAACATAACACCCACAGGTTGTGACAAAGTAAACATTAAAATTTACGCGACTCCTTCAGAAGATTACTTTAAAGCCTTAAGATGCCTTCCCGAGCAAAACAACGTTAAATCGGATTTATTTAGTGACAAAATCGGAAATTTAGACGACCTAAAAAACACACCAACCTTACTATATAACTGTACTTTGGGCCACGATTTTACCCTTTCAATAAACAATGATTACATCAAGGGGTTATTACATGATCAACCTAATGTGCAGGAGGGTTTAAAGTTGATTTCTGTGTGGGTAAAACAGAGGGAATTGGATGTTGGCGTGGTCTCACTGAGTGAAAATATAATACTCTATGTTGTGGTGTATTTATTGTCAAAAAAGAAAATTAACAAGCACATGAGCAGCTATCAAGTTGTGAGGAACTTTTGGAGTTTTATTGCCACAAATGAAGTTCCTGTTAGTATTTGTGATGTTTCACAGGATGTTTTGAGCAAGTTTAAGGAAAATTTTGATGTTGTTTTACTGGATAAAACTGGGTGTTACAATGTTGTGGGTTTTTTGACCCAAGATTTTTATAAAAGAGTCAAAATGGAGTGTGAAATTGCATTACAACACTTGGATGATAATAGAGTTAATAGTTTTCATACTCTGTTTTTGACAAAATTACCATTCCATCTACAGTATGATGTAATATTAAGGTATGTTAATATTTCTATTATGTATCAAAATTCTTGTACATTTAAAGAAGAAAAAGTAAAACAGAAACCTGTTAAAAAAACTTATATAAAAATGCTTAATTATTTTGAAAATATATTTTTTTGATTGTTAATTATCCTTTTAAGGTTTTATTAACATCATATTGTTTAAAAAAAGAACATAAATTAATTATTTATAAAAAAAAAATTAGTACAAAACTAAGTAAAAGCAAAAACTATGTTCTATTTCTCAATTTTCTTAATTACATAACTAACTAAATTTAAAAAATGTCCATTAAAAAAGTTTTAGTTATTAGTAATATTAATAAAATAATAAAAAGTCAATATAAAAATTGTCTTGTTGAACTACCAAAACAAATTTTCCAGCTTCTTTGAGGCACAATACATTGACTAGGAAAATTACTATTAAAAAGGTGAAGGACATCATTTTAAATTTGCTAAAAAAACGTATGTTTTTGGAACAAAACCTCTTTACTGTTTTAAAGATAAAAATTTGTATTTTCGCCCTTAAAACCATTACCATTATACTTACTTTTGAGAATCAAACAAAGTTCAACTGCTACCTTAACTAATTTTTATTACTGTGACACAGGAGAATGCAAAGTTTTGCCACGCTGGTATAAAAAATACAAAAAAACGTGTTGTGGCTTAAAGATAGTTCAAAACACCATTTCCTACTAAAATCCGTTACCGAATATATTTCCGCAAGAGGGCAGCACCAAAAAATGCGCGCGTGATTCAAAAAGTCATTTATAAAAGTTGACAAACTTTAGTTTAATTTTGTTGATAGGTTTAAATTTAAAATTTTATTTTGCTAATGCATATAGTTGCTAAAACACTTCAAACAAGTTTCAAATGGCGTTAAACTCAATTTTTTATAAAACATTAAAGCACATACAGCAAATGTACAAAAATCAAACCCATATAGATTGTATAACTTGTGTTGTTAGTGTTCAAAACCTGCCAAAACCTGAAGAAATGCAATTCACTGACAAAGAAAAGGCGAAAAGCATTGGATATCATTCATTATTGGCTGTAAAAAATATTTCAGACACCTTAAAGAGAGGTTTAAATAAAAGAGTGTTAAATTTGGTGCCAAGGTTAACAAATGTAGGCCCAAATGGAACACCAGAAAATGTGGTTTTTGGTGTTAATTTGGACCCAGATCATGCCTTTGGTTTTATAGAGTTGGGACCGGCTTTAAATGATCATTTGGAAGCGGAAAAGTTCAGGATATTTTGGGGAAATTTGTGTAGCAACAGAAGGTACATTTTAAATTATTTAAGGCACAAAAACTACTGACAATATTTTTAGATTTCGCGATGGTTCTGCCAAAGTGGCTGTATACTTCAAAACGAGAACCGTACGCGACAAAAGATTGATAATCAAAAAAATAATCGACTTTGTTATGGGCGAAAAATTAAGTCTGAACTACAAGTTATACTACGACGACTTTGAAGACGTTTTGTTGACGAAAAAGTTAATAACGAGGTACCCGATAGGCACGAACGAAGAAGTCAGCCTCAAAATTATCACAACCTCAGACGAATTGGGCAAAAAAATACGCGAGTTAAAAATGTCGCTCAGTATAACCGGTGTACAGGGTGTTTCTGATGTTTACAGGTAAGAATTTTAGTTGGTAGCACTTCAAGTCCTAAAAGAGGTAAAAAATAAACATTATTCTGTCAAATGTCAATTTTAAGGTTAATTTGTGGCCATGCTAAATTAACCTTAAAATTGACATTTGACAGTAAGTAAATGTTCTATAATGGCTCTTTATAAACGTGATTTTAATAATAATAATTTGTTGTAACATTTAATTGAATTGAATTTAAAATTTTGTAAAATTTCTATACATATTCGGAACTTAATTTTACTAAGATATCAATAAAATTACTAACCAAAATTTGCTATTTGAATTTCAATAAGTGTTTGGAAATATTCAAATAATTATTTATTTTATACAACTTCTGTTTGCATTTTTACTATATATATATTTTAATCATGTACACTGTTAAAATTACAATTGTTTTGCAAAACAAAGGATGGGTAAAATTACAAAAATTGGTATAGTTTTACAATTTGATCTTTTAACTTTGGAATTTTGTAATTCATGTAAAAATCAGTACCCTGAAAAAACCGATAAATATTCTTATGGGAAATCAAATGCTCTACAAAAAAAGTCTTTTATCATTTTTGGCTAAATTCACTCCATCAAAAGTTATTCAAGGTTAAATTTGAAGTCAAAACGATTTCCCATAAGAATATTTATCGTTTTTTTCAGGGTACTGATTTTTACATGAATTACAAAATTCCAAAGTTAAAAGATCAAATTGTAAAACTATATTTTCCCAAGTTGAGTTTTTTATACAGAAATTAACATTGCTGTAAATCTGAAAGTTCTTGTCAAAAAATGTTTTTGTTTTCAGTTATACTGAAGTATTTCCCCCTCTACCAACAAATTACGAAGTGGGGGGTATAATAACAGAATCAAAAGAAAATAATATAATTTTTTCCGACACAAACAAAATTAAGAAGGTACCTAGATATGCGCAAGTTGTTAATTGTGTATTACAACTAGGTAAATAGTTATTGATATAATAAAAAATTCAAAATACTACAAAAAAAATTGTAGAGCATAGTTCAAAGTGGCCAAACGACCTGAAAGGCATAAAATACATAAAAACCGCATTTTACATGGAAATGGCGAAAACGTTGGAAAAAAAATACGGCATTTTAACGAATATAACAAAAGAATACCTGGAGGTTTTTTATGAGGGTTTGGTGTTTAGATACAAAATTTATTTACCTAAAGAAATCGGTTTACTAAAAAGATCCATGGAAAATGGCAGTGTGGCCTTCAGAGATAACTTGGAGAGTTCAAATTTGAATATGGAGTTGAATATACTACCAAAAACAACTGCTGGACTCAAAGGGTAAGTAACACAAAAAATATTGTTTTTTTTATTAAATATTTTTTATCCAGTATACAGTCTCAACACCCAAGCTACGGACCAGGTACAGCCCTGATAAAAAGATGGTTGAGATCTCAGCTAATAGACGATTTTCATTTTCCCGATATCGTCGTAAATTTACTTAATGCCTCCCTGTATTTAACAGGGACGAGTTTTGTAACACCAAATACCCCGCAAATGTCGTTTTTGAGGTTCTTAAAGTTCTTTAGCGAGTCGCAGTGGGATTTACAGAGCGTTTTGGTTAACTTTAACGATGAAATAACAAGTAAGTATTTTTAAGTATGTTTTTTGACATTCTTAAGTAAGATTGACACAATTAAATATGTTTTTAACATTCTTTAATGGGTTTTTGTCAAAATCAATCAAAGAATGTCAAAAATATTTTATGTTTTTAACATATGTATGAATATTCTTAAATGTATTTTGGCAAAGATATCTACAAATGTCAAAAATATTCTCAAATATGTTTTTTGACTTTCTTAAATATCTTTTGACATCCTTAAGTAAGATTAACACAATTAAATACGTTTTTAACATTCTTTAATGGGTTTTTGTCAAAAATAATTAAGAATGTCAAAAATATTTTATATGTTTAACATTCTTAAATGTATTTTGGCAAGGATATCTACAAATGTCAAAAATATTCTCAAATATGTTTTTTTACATTCTTAAATATCTTTTGACATTCTTAAGTAAGATTGACACAATTAAATATGTTTTTAACATTCTTTAATGTGTTTTTGTCAAAAATAATTAAGAATGTCAAAAATATTTTATGTTATTAACATTCTTAAATTTTTTTAAAAAGTATTTTGGCAAAGATATCTACAAATGTCAAAAATATTGTCAAATATGTTTTTTGACATTCTTAAATATTTGTTGACATTCTTAAGTAAGATAAAAACAATTAAATATGTTTTTAACATTTTTTAATGTGTTTTTCTCAAAAATAATCAAGAATATCAAAAATATTTTATATTTTTAACATTCTTGAATGTATTTTGGCAAATATATCTACAAATGTCAAAAATATTTTCAAATATGTTTTTTGACATTCTTAAATATCTTTTGACATTCTTAAGTAAGATTGACACAATTAAATACGTTTTTAACATTCTTAAATGTGTTTTGGTCAAAAATAATTAAGAATGTCAAAAATATTTTTTGTTTTTAACATTCTAAAATGTATTTTGGCAAAGATATCTACAAATGTCAAAAATATTCCCAAATATGTTTTTTGACATTCTTAAATATCTTTTGACATTCTTAAGTAAGATTGACAAAATTAAATATGTTTTTAACATTCTTTAATTGTTTTTGTCAAAAATAATTAAATGTCAAAAATATTTTGTTTTTAACATTCTCAAATGTATTTTGGCAAAGATATTTACAAATTTCAAAAATATTCTTAAATATGTTTTGACATTCTTAAATAAATATCTTTTGACATTTTCAAGTAAGATTGAAACAATTAAATATGTTTTTAACATTCTTTAATGGGTTTTTGTCAAAAATAATTAAGAATGTCAAAAATATTTTGTTTTTAACATTCTTAAATGTATTTTGGCAAAGATATCTACAAATATCAAAAATATTCTCAAATATGTTTTTTTGACTTTCTTAAATATCTTTTGACATTCTTAAGCAAGATTGACACAATTAAATACGTTTTTAACATTCTTTAATGGGTTTTTGTCAAAAATAATTAAGAATGTCAAAAATATTTAATGTTTTTAACATTCTTAAATGTATTTTGGCAAAGATATCTACAAATGTCAAAAATATTCTCAAATATGTTTTTTGACATTCTTAAATATCTTTTGACATTCTTAAGTAAGATTAATGGGTTTTTGCCAAAAATAATTAAGAATGTTAAAAATATTTTATGTTTTTAACATTCTCAAATGTATTTTGGCAAAAATATCTACAAATGTCAAAAATATTCTCAAATATGTTTTTTGACATTCTTAAATATCTTTTGACATTCTTAAGTAAGATTGACACAATTAAATATGTTTTTAACATTCTTTAATAGGTTTTTGCAATAAATAATTAAGAATGTCAAACATATGTTATGTTTTTAACATTCTTAAATGTATTTTGACAAAGATATCTACAAATGTCAAAAATATTCTCAAATATGTTTTTTGACATTCTTAAATATCTTTTGACATTCTTAAGTAAGATTGACACAATTAAATACGTTTTTAACATTCTTTAATGTGTTTTTGTCAAAAATAATTAAATGTCAAAAATATTTTGTTTTTAACATTCTTAAATGTATTTTGACAAAGATATCTACAATGTCAAAAATATTCTCAAATATGTTTTTAACATTCTTTAATGTGTTTTGTCAAAAATAATAAAGAATGTCAAAAATATTTTATGTTTTTAACATTCTTAAATGTATTTTGGCAAAGATATCTACAAATGTCAAAAATATTCTCAAATATGTTTTTTGACATTTTTAAATATCTTTTGACATTCTTAAGTAAGATTGAAACAATTAACATTCTTTAATGTGTTATTTTTAAAAGAAAAGGGTTAACTATTTTAATCTACGTGTATTTTTTAATTAACCGGAAACTGCCAAACAAAAATTATTAAATTTAAACAAATATGATAAACAAGAACCACCAATTATTTTTCAGAGGAAGATATCATAGATTTAGAAGGCAAATTACAAGAAAATAGGGAAGCACTACAACCTCTATACATAATAACACCCTATGATAATGGTCAATCAATTTTCACCAAAAACTCACCCACTAAACAAGTTTTAAGCAGGGTCAAAGATTTAGCAATTGCTACATTAAGTTTTTATAGCGAAAAATTATTAAAGTCGGAAAAATGCGATATTAAGGTAATTAAGTTGAAAAAACACTTTAATTTTGTCTAAAATGTCTTTAACTTGTGTGCAGGAGTTATTTTTGCCAAATTGGCAAGGCTACAACCTACTAATACAACTAAATCCACTATTAAACTCCAGAAGACACGAACGAATTTTAAATAGCGACGAAAGTAAAATTTTAATTGAAAAATACGATCCCAAAGTAAACTCAAAAATCCCAATTTGTGATTTTAATCCAGTAGAAATATATTTGGAAGAACTCAGGGAAAACTATGGCGAATTTGCGTCATTTTTTCACGATACTTATGGAGGAAATACCATTGGAGTTTTATGGAACCCCAAAATATTTGAAAGTAAAGATTTTAAAGTGAGTTTTTGCATAAAATCAACGATTTTCGAAATTGGTTTGATTTTTATTTTAGGTACCAAATGTAAATGGTAGAAAACTGGAAAACGATAAACTAGTAACCAATGTTGATGCCCTTATTGAAGATTTCTACATTATCGGCAAAGACTTGGTGAAAACCATAGAAGTACAATAATTTTAAGGAAAAATAAACATTTTATTAATTAATTGTATTATTTTTTAATAATCTCCGCACATTAATTAAAACTATTTACATTCTTACAATAATCTACATAAAATAATAAATTGACTTACTTCTACAAAGTTACAATCATGAGTTTCAAATTTCTAATACATGTACAAAATAAAGGCCCCACAATTACTTAAAGTCACTTTTTAGAGTATTTATCTTTTATTTGTGCGTATAGTTTCAATAACCAACTTATCAGTGCTGTACATTTGTCCTATTAAAGCCTAAAAAATAAATCATAAAAAATATAGGTTATAATCTAAAATATAAGTCTTACTTGTCTTTTAATAACTTCTAGATTTTTCTGCGCTTCAGCAATCTGTTGAGATATTCTATTCGGGTCCGTCAACCCTTTATTTTCCTTAAAAGTATCCCTTATTTTACGCACAGCATAATTTCTGCAAAATTTTGAGGTTAATTCGTATATAATGCAAATTATGACAGAAACTCACCTAAAATTGTACGCAGGTATTTTCTTGGACTCTCTAATTAAGGATCTATATAAATTTATCACTTGAACTTTGCTTGTAGTCGACATTTTTACCAAAAAAAACCGCACAAATTACAAAAAAGAACCTTTGTGCTCAAAAACGTCAAATGACAAGAGCGGTGTTGTCACATGTAAAAAATATGTTCATAAAAATGTTAACAAATCAACAAATATTTGCAATATTTATTAACCACACCTAAATATTATTTATTTATATAATTAAAGTTAATTTTTGTATTTGTTTCATAGTTAAGTGGTGGATTTATCAAAAATATACAGCAATCTGGCAACATACTGTAGTTCAAATGTACCACATATTTTAACTACTAACTGGGTAAATCTGCTTAAAACACAATGTATTTTACAAATTTAAAGCCTTAAATAATATTGTTTACCTTATAAACATCACACACTAACTCACAAGTTATAAATCAACATTTTTCTTAATATCTTTTTAGCCGCTTCACAGTAAACATAACCTCAAACGATTGTTTCCCAAACAAAATTAATGACCGCAAAATAAAGCGAATAAGCAAAAATGTCGGATGCCTGGGAGCAAATCCAGGAGATTAAAAGCAAACGCAACATACTGCGCGAACGGCTGGCAAAACGCAGAAAAGAAAGGCAAGATATTTTAGGTTCAGCTTCGAGCGAAGCTCCCAGCTGCAGCGGGGCTGTCAAAGAGGAATTCAAGGTTAAAACGGAAACAAGTGAAGTCGAGGATTTGGTTAAGGTTGATCCGGAGTTGGAAGGGCAACTATTGAAGGCGCTGAGTGAGGTTACGTTGCAACTACCTGTTACATGCAATGATTTGTTGGGTTCTTTGAAGCTAACGCTGGACAAAGAGGCTTCGCATCGGCAGGTCTGTAGCTTGTTGCATAAATTCGCCACGCAGAAGCTCATAACGGTCAGAGAAAGCGTTAAAGATGGTGGGAACGTTGTCGAGGTGACATCGGTGGAAGTAACCAAAGTTAATGCAATGATTTTGGAGTTTTTTGACGATAAGAGTGATAGTAAGGGTGAGTTGAAGAGGAAGAGAGTTGTGTCTCCCGATAAGGGTGTTGAGGATGATGAGAAAAAGAAGAAAGACAAGAAGGAACCCAAAGCAGATATCATGGTAAGTTTTTGTGAGAAAATTAACATTTTAACGTTCCAGTCCTTGTTATCTATGCTCTCAACAAAATAAAAAGAAAGTATTAAAATTCTTAAGTAAGATTGGCATTCTAATATATGTAGTAACGGATATTTTGTGTCATGTTTATATTAATTTTAAGTTCAGAAGTAATAAATATGTTAGCTTAGAGATAAAATGTATTGCTGTTAAGTACGTGCACATGTTTTATATTTAGATTAGCTAGAGAGGGTGGCCTGACCGTTGTGGGAAAGTTTTTCTTAAAAAGTACCTGCAACGCCTGTTTTATGTCTTTACTGTCAAGGGGGATATTTCTTAAAAGTAGAACGGTCGGGCAGGCAGATTTTTAGATTTTTAGAAACCATTTAAGAAGTAAGACGTATTATTTTGCCCTGTACTTGTTTAACTTTTAAATTCAATATATAGTTTTTTTGCCTACTTTCGTGCGTTATTAATCACTTCGAACCGATTTACCATCTAGCCAATTTATCCCTACATATATTTTAAAAAATGTGTTTTTGTCAAAAATAATTAAGAATATCAAAAATATTATTAAATATGTTTTTTAACATTCTTAAGTAAGATTGAAACAATTAAATATGTTTTTAACAATTTTTAATGTGTTTTTCTCAAAAATAATTAAGAATGTCAAAAATATTTTATGTTTATTAAACAATCTCAAATGTATTTTGGCAAAGATATCTACAAATGTCAAAAATATTCTCAAATATGTTTTTTGACATTCTTAAATATCTTTTGGCATTCTTAAGTAAGATTGATACAATTAAATATGTTTTTAACATTCTTTAATGTGTTTTTTTTTAATAATTAAGAATGTCAAGAATATTTTATGTTTTTAACATTCTTAAATGTATTTTGGCAAAGATATCTACAAATGTCAAAAATATTCTCAAATATGTTTTTTTGACATTCTTAAATATCTTTTGACATTCTTTAGTAATATTGATACAATTAAATATGTTTTTAACATTCTTTAATGTGTTTTTGTCAAAAATAATTAAGAATGTCAAAAATATTATTAAATATAAAATATTTTTGACATTCTTAGATGTATTTTGGCAAAGATACCTACAAATGTCAAAAATATTCTCAAATATGTTTTTTGGCATTCTTAAATATTTTTTGACATTTTTACGTAAGATTGACCCAATTAAATATGTTTTTAAGATTCTTTAATAAGTTTTTGTCAAAAATAATTAAGAATGTCAAAAATATTTTATGTTTTTAACATTCTTAAATGTATTTTGGCAAAGATATCTACAAATGTCAAAAATATTCTCCAATGTTTTTTGACATTCTTAAGTGAGATTGACACAATTAAATATGTTAACATTCTTTAATGTGGTTTTTTTAAATAATTAAGAATGTCAAAAATATTTTATGTTTTTAACATTCTTAAATGTATTTTGGCAAAGATATCTACAAATGTCAAAAATATTCTCAAATATGTTTATTGACATTCTTAAATATATTTTGACATTCTTAAGTAAGATTTACACAATTAAATATGTTTTAACATTCTTTAATGTGTTTTTGTCAAAAATAATTAAGAATGTAAAAAATATTTTGTTTTTAACATTCTTAAATGTATTTTGGCAAAGATATCCACAAATGTCAAAAATATTCTCAAATATGTGACATTCTTAAATATCTTTTGTTATTCTTAACTTAAGAATCTTAAGTAAAGCCTGGTTCATATAGATGCGACATGCGAATTTGCGAAATGCGAAAATGTTTTCATTGGTCCATTTGATTTGGCGGGAAAAGTGTTTCGACGTTTCGACAGATTCTGCGAATTCGCATTATTTGAAATCTGGGGGCGGGAATCTTGAGATTGATCCAACATTTTGCGAAAATCGCACGAATTTGGCGTGATGCGCATGCGAATTAATGCAGATGCCTATTATACGTATTTGTTATATGTATCCGCGCCGTTTTTGTTTATGTTCTGTGTTTATTTATTTATTTATTTTTATTTATTTATTTTATTATTTTTAATGTGCTTTCAACAGGCACCAGGCCCAATTACAGAAATACACAATGACAAACACAAATAAACAACCATACCCCTGGTGGGATTCGAACCCACGACCTCTCGGCTTGTAGTCCGCAGTGCTAACTACTACACCACCGAGGGCGGTCATTTGTATTGCATCGTTGTTGAGTTTTATTTGAAATGTTTCTTGCTAAAGTTGTTTTTTGTTCTTTATAATGGACAAAGAGTTTTTGGAGGTACATTAGTTTCTTATTTTACCTTATAGTAGCATATTTTTTTAGAAGTAACTTTACTATTTAAGTACCTTCTTATAGAAAATGTTAACCAAGTATGGCAAATATCACCTGGAGAAAAAATAATGTCCCTAAAATACCATGGCAAATATCGCCTAGTGAGAAAACAATGTCCCAAAAATGGTTCCGACAATTCGCATCTATATGAATAGGAGCTGCGAAATGCGAATATTCGTATTTCGCAAATTCGTAAATTCGCAAATTCGCATCTATATGAACTCGGCTTAAGATTGACACAATTAAATATGTTTTTAACATTCTTTAATGTGTATTTTTTTAATAATTAAGAATGTCAAACATATTCTATGTTTTAAACAATCTCAAATGTATTTTGGCAAAGATATCTACAAATGTCAAAAAAAATTGTCAAATATGTTTTTTTACATTCTTAATTTTTTTTGACATTCTTAAGTAAGATTGACAAAATTAAATATGTTTTTAATATATAATAATATGTGTTTATGTCAAAAATAATTAAGAATGTCAAAAATATTTTATGTTTTTAATATTTTTAAATGTATTTTAGCAAAGATATCTACAAATGTTAAAAATATTCTCAAAAATATTTTTTGACATTTCTAAATATCTTTTAACATTCTAAAGTAAGATTGACACAATTAAATATGTTGATGAGGTTTAATGTTTTTGACATTCTTAAATCTTTTATCAATCTTAAGTGAGATGAAATTTTACCCTTGCAGTCATTATTGTCGATGCCCTCGACAAAAGAAAAAGAAAGTAAAAAACTGGGCGAAGAAATTCTGGACCTGCTGAGCAAACCGACCGCCAAAGAGCGATCTTTAGCGGAACGGTTCCGCTCCCAGGGCGGAAAGCAGCTGATGGAGTTCTGCCCGCACGGCACGAAGTCCGACTGCGAGCGCAACGGCGCCGCCAACGGCCAGTGCAAGAAGTTGCACTTCAAGAAGATCATCCAGAAGCACACGGACGAGTCCCTGGGCGACTGCTCGTTTTTGAACACGTGCTTTCACATGGACACCTGCAAGTACGTGCATTACGAGGTGGACAGGTGCGGGCGGGCGGGCGGCGGTAACGTCAGTTCCGCCCCTTCCAGACCCGTAGCCAGGGTCGAGGAAAGTACGGTCCTGTATCCCCCGCAGTGGGTGCAGTGCGATTTGAGGTTCCTGGATATGACAGTTTTAGGTGAGTTTTAATTTTTTTTTTATAATTTTTTTTCTTTTTTTTATGTTTTTGTTTATATTTATATGTAAAACATTTAATATAAATTTAATTGTTTATTATTGTATACTAATTAAAAAGTAAGGATAGATTATTTGACAGATGTCAGATTTTATTTAGTATACCAGAGGTGACTTTGATGTTTTTGGAATTGCAATTACCCGATTGGTCAAAATCACAGTGAATAATAAAATCGACCAATCAATTGCAAAAAATAAATATAACTCAATAAATACAAAAATTTTATGCCCTTGAAGCTCTAATACCCTTCTGTATTTATTTACTCGTCCAGCTATTAGCTTGAGCAATGATTGGAAAATTTAGTACCCCTTTTAAAAACTCCATAACCACAAAATTAATTTTTTCATCGGTTTTTTTCTTTCTGTTTACTCAGATGAAATCAGGTTAAACTTTAAAATTCAATTTGTGTAAATAAATCCAAAAGCACTTCCCTTAGTTAAGATATTTACAATTCGAGTACATAACCTAAAATTTGAAAGAAATGCACTAGATTCTGTCATAGTTGCCAGATTTTGTTTGAATTACGAAAATGACATAATGAACAATTAGTAAAAACGTTGTCATTTTTGTAATTAATCTAAATTTAAACAAAATCTGACAACTTCTTTTGAACCATAATAAATTAAATTAGGCAACCAGATTAGCCTAAAGTTCCTAGTCGATCAGTGGCGGACTTTTTGGTAGGATAAAGGTTATAAATTATTTTTCAAAAATATTTCTTTTTTTTTTCTTTTATAAGGAAAATTCGCTGTGATAATGGCCGACCCACCGTGGGACATCCATATGGAACTGCCATATGGAACCATGTCTGACGACGAAATGCGGCAACTAGGCATTCCGCAATTACAAGGTAAAACACAATACAGTAAATTTAACATTTGACAGTTTGAAGACATCCCTGAGATAGAACATACCTTGTTGTGTGTAATGTAAAACATTAATCAATTCAAATTAGCAAAATGCCACCTAATAAAAAACACTTCATGCATTTTCCCAATAAAAATGCCGATTAAAGCCGCGACATAGCGGTGTTTACTTTGACGACTGTCAAAATTGTTTTTTAGTCAAATTATTGTGTTTCATGTATTTATTTAAGACGAGGGTTTAATATTTCTTACTTTTTCATTGGATAAAAAACTTCCATTGGATACAAAATTTCCATTAGAGAAAAATTTAAATGGAGAAAAAATGTCAATTAAAAAAATTGGCCATTAGATACATGTTTTCCATTGGATAAAAAAAATCCCATTGGAGAACTAGGCATTCCGCAATTACAAGGTAAATACACACAACAAGGTCTTTAGCCTACCCTAAAATTGACATTTGACAGCCCTGAGATAGAACAGACTTTGTTGTGTGACATAATTTGTGTTTCGTGTATTTATTTAAGACGAGGGTTTAATATTCCTGTGGGTCACTGGTAGAGCCATGGAGCTAGGAAGAGAATGTCTAAAATTATGGGGTTACGAACGAGTTGACGAAATTATATGGGTAAAAACCAACCAACTGCAGAGGATCATAAGAACAGGCCGTACAGGACACTGGTAGGAAAATATATTCGTTATTTTATCATAGATTCTGACATCTGTCAAATTTTAAAGGTTAAATCACGGGAAAGAGCACTGTTTGGTGGGTATGAAAGGTGACCCGCAAAATTTGAACCGCGGTTTGGACTCTGACGTCATCGTGGCCGAAGTGAGGGCTACCAGTCACAAGCCGGACGAAATATACGGCATGATAGAGAGGTTGTCCCCGGGGACGAGGAAAATCGAACTTTTCGGTAGGCCCCACAACATCCAACCCAACTGGATTACTCTTGGGAATCAGGTCGACGGGAATAGGCTGGTAGATCCCGTCTTGAAGGAGAACTTCAAGAAGAGGTACCCCAACGGGAACTACATGGCGCCACCGCCGGAAATCGCCCATTGATTGTTTTATTTTGACGTTTTTTTATTACTTTTTGTTTAGGTTTAAGAATAAATGTGACTTTTGAATCAATGTTGTTTTATTTTCCAGAACTTGTTAAATAACAACCTTAACACTTACTTTTTCATTGGAGAAAAAATTTCCATTGGAGAAAAAAATTCCATTAGAGAAATTGGCCATTAGATACATATTTTCCACTGGATAAAAATTTTTCATTGGATAAAAATATATTTTTCATTGGATAAAAAGTTTCCATTGAAAACACTGGTCATTTATTACATATTTTCCATTGGATAAAAAATTCCCATTGGAGAAAAGATATTTTCCATTGGATAAAAAACTCATTGAAAAAAATTATCATCAAATTCATATTTTCCACTGGATAAAAAATTTCCTTTGGAGAAAAAGATTTTTCCATTGGATAAAAAAATCCCATTGGAGAAAAAGATATTTTCTATTGGAAAAAAAATGTCATTGAAAAAATTGATCATTAAATTCATATTTTCCACTGGAAAAAAAATCCATCAAAATAATTGGCCATTAGAAACATATTTTCCATTTTCATTTTCCAGAAAACAATTTAAGAAACATTCTTTGAAAAATTTGGACCTGAAAATGGGGAAGGTAGTTAAAAAAATAATAAAACCATTCTTATTACTAGGTGCTTTATTTTTTATTCATGAAAAAAATGTAAATTACTCTACGGCTTTATCCTCTCTATAATTGTTAGCAAAAAAGAGACACGATATACGTAATTCAATAATAAAATGATATCTACATAGTTCCTGAACGGCACTTGAATTTCCCGCCCCCCGAAAAAGCAACATTCGAGACAATTCGCGGGAAATTCAAGTGCCGAATTATTGCCGGTAAACAAACTTTACAATTTACAAAACGTCACCCAACAGAACGACACTTTTCAGTTTTTGTTTTCTCAAAGCGTCGCTCCGGTCACCTTCTAGCAATAGAACATCGAGACCCAACAATAAAATAATAACCAAAATGTATAAGTTATGTATGTACTATATACAGGAGACTGTATACTTAAATTTACAGTAATCCGAGAAATATACATTTAATAATCAATTAAAATAACAATTGGCAGTTAAAAATCGTTTATGTACAAATTATTTAAGGAAAACTCTTCGGGTGCCGATTTTGTGCACTGGCACTTCAAATTTTCCTCGCAATTAATTAAAAAAAACCTAATCGTAATTAGACAGTTTGAAACGTTCAATTATTATTATACAAATATATAGGTTTTGTGTACGTTTAGTTGTGCTCACATTTCGGCATATTTTCAGCTGTCAAATACAAGGAAAGCCAAAATAATGGTCCCAGTAGTAAAATGACAGATTGCGGCGTCACTTTCTATAGAGAAATTACGTACTTACCTTATTTTGGCTCTCCGCGTAGATAGAGGGAAAAACAAACATGTACAAAAAATAATCTACATCCAATACTACTTAGGAAATAAAACACAAAAAACCGAACATTTCTCAGTAAGGTAAGTTCCGTTGGCCGGCAATACACGTGAAAAAAATAGTTGCCAAAAACCGACCCGGTGTCGCCAACCAAAAAGACGATAATAATAAGAACCGTATTGCTAGAGAGGTGAACGCGATTTATCGAGTTGGCATTGTTGACGCGCGTTTGTTTTTAGGTTATGTATTTTCGCAGAGTTCATTGTCAATCGAGCACGACCACCTGCGTCGTGTCGTCCATTTTGGTTTTCAGCTGTCGCCACGGTTTTCGTGCCGCCCGTCTCAGTTCCACCAGCGTCACTTGTCGTCTCACTTTTCTGAAAACCCAATGAAACACACACATCAAATTTATTTAATATGTGCCTCGATTCGTTTCAAATTTTTCGTTGGATAAAAAATTCCCACTGGATAAAAAAATTGCATTATAAAAATTGACCATTAGAGACAAATTTTCCATTGGAGAAAAAATTTCCATTAGATAAAAAATTGCAATTGAAAAATTGACAATTAGAGACAAATTTTCCATTGGATAAAAAATTTTTTCATTGGAGAAAAAATTTCCATTGGATAAAAAAATACAAAAAAACTACTTACTTGCTTCTTTCGGTGGCGCGGAAGTACACGTCGTCCGGCGCGTCCATCCAGCTGATGACCTGCTTCCTTCCGCTTCCGGTGCGCGTCATGTGCGCGATCCTCGGCTTGCCGTTGATCTGCGCGATGTGGCGCGGCATCGCGTGCGGCGGCCCGGCGCCGCCGCCGGCGCCCGCGGGGGCGGCGGGCTGAGCGACGCCCGCCGCGGCGGCCATCATCGCGTGGTACTGCTCGCCGCGGTGCACCTGCATCGGTTCCTTGGTTATCCGCTTCGAGGGCGGGGGCGCTGCGATCGCGCCGCCTGCAAAGACGGGAGAGACAACGTTTTTCAGCCGCAAAGAACGAATGTTAAGATTACTGTCTTGAAATTATTCAGCCAAAAAGTTTGTTAATTAAAAGGGTTTTCAAGTCATTTAAACCGTAAACGCCCTTAAAAACACTTGCTATTGATTTTAAAAATTTTAATATTGAATTAAATAATAAAACTTTCTTAAATGAACAAAATCCTAAAAACAACACTCACCGTCATCCCAATCCAAATCAGAATAGAAGCCAGTTAAAAAAGAATCAAGAATTAGATAAAAAGTATTAAATATGTACAAGTAAAATCCTATCAGAGATTTAAAAAAAACCCAATAGAAAAATAAATATCGTCGATTATTTTAACTTACTGTCGAGTCCGTTCATTTCGTCGAAGGCCTTCCGTTTGAGGGACGGCGACATGTTGTTGAGCGGTATCCGTTCTGCTTCGGGCTTGTTCGGCACGCGCTCGTACATCAAGCTGCCGTCGGGCGCTTTCGGCGGTTTCGGGAACGCCTCCCGATCGGGCTTCGGCAGCGTTTCCTTGTCGCTGAGGATGAGCCATTGCGGCGTTATAGGACCGGCCCTGCCCAACCTTTTTTTGAAACAAACACACCGGTTATCGTCACTTTTACACAACGAAAATCGCAATTTTTACCTAGTGGCAATGGCCGTCACGCTCCCCCTGTTCTTCTTCCTGTAAAGCAGAAGTTGCTTCAGCTCCTGCAACGTCTTGCCCACCATCTGCGCGCCGCACTCTTGCTTCACCGCCTGAATGTTGATGGCGAAGAAGGGGGCGCGCGCCGCGTGCCGCGGACGCATAATGTGGCGGCACAGGCGGCGCGAGATCCGCGTCACCGGCGTCGTCAGCAGATAGAAAGCCGTCCGAGTTTTCATTATCGGCCGCGGCGAACCGCTGCGCACCATTATGCCGTGCGCCGTCGCGTAATGCCGACCTGATGGCAAACAGACGAAAATACAACATTTTCCACTGGATAAAAAATTTCCACTAGAGAAAAAATTCCCACTACAATTATCGACCATTAGAGACATAGTTTTCATTGGAGAAAAAAATTTCCATTGGATAAAAAATTACTTTCCAAAAAACATTTCATTTGATACAAATTTCCATTGGAGAAAAAATTTCCATTAGATAAAAAATTAAAAAAAAATCTATTACACTTACCTAGGTGCGCTTTCAGCTTGAACTCCTTGCCGCAGCCGCCGATGTTGCAGCGATGCGGCCGATGCGACATCGCGCCGCCGCCCGCCATCCTGTCGTCCTCCGCGTCGCTGCCGGATTTCTTTTTGCCGCCGCCGCCGCCGCCCGCCGAGCCGTTCTCGAACTCGCCGTCGCCGAACCTGGTCGGGTTCCTGATGCCGCCGTACTTTTTCCAGTAGTTCCAGCAGTTCTGGCACAGGCGGCACTGCATGTGCGAGGGACCCCACGCGTACCACTGACTCGATACGCTGACTGAAATTAAGCGGTTTGATTTTTGGTTTGCGCGATTTTTCGAAGTATTCTTACCGTTGCAGGATTCGCAGGCTTTTCCGCCCAGCGAGACCGCCGCCGCGTCGGCGTTGCCGTTGCTGCTGCCGTTCACCACGCCTTTGTTGTTGTTCAAAGCGGCGGGATTTGGTTTGTTGCTGCGGAGAGAGAGAAAATGAAGAAATCAATTGTTGTACAATTTTGAGTTGTTTGTTTATATACGAACTCACTAGTTGGGAATGTAGACCTGCTTCAGCTTGGATTCCGCTTCGACGGCTTTGACTCGTTTCTGTTGAACGTATCGGTCCGTAGTCTTCCACATGTAGTAGTACTCGATGATGTTTTTCAAGGTTTTCCACGGCAGGAAGTCGGAGCGTATGTCGTTGAAGTCTTTGCCGTATTTGTCGAGAGCTTCCTCGAATAAGTTGGCCTCGGAGGCGCTCCACTCCTCCATCTCGTCGCGACACAGCACTGGGCCGCTGGAGGGCACCAGCGAGCACAGAGCGGCGCCCACGTCGTAGCCGTGCTTGTGCAGCGTGTCCATGGCGTGGAAGAGGGTGATGTCGCGGCTGGCCGCGGCGGCCGACATGTGCAACGACGGTTGCTTGACGCTCGAGCTGCAGTCGAGCGCCCTGGCGAACGTGCCGACGGAACGCGACACCACCAGGAACTGATCGATCTGCCGGTCGCTGAGACCGTGCTCGGGCGTCCACACCAGCGTCTCCAACTCTTTCGCCTCCCTGCCGTCCGTCTCGCCCTCCTTTAGGAGCGCCGTCACGTCACTTTGATACCGACTGCCCACGCGAATCTCGCCCTTGTCCGCCAGCAGCGTTTTCTGCGTCGGATCGAACACCAGGCAGTAAAAAAACATGTCGTCTTTGCCGAGATACGAGGCCAATGCCTCGGTCTCGTTGAACAGCGTCACTGAGCACTTGCCGCGTATGTGCGTCGCCGGCAAGGTTTCCACTAAGCGCGACAGAAACAGTTCCCTGTGCTTCATCTGGTGGCGCTGTTTGGGGTTGAGCTGCTCGGCCCCGGTGGGGGTCGCGGCTCCGGGTGCCGGCGCCAACACGCCGCCGGGGCCCTTGGTCTCCACCGGAGGCGTCGGGGTGGGGGCGGGGGTGCTGCTGGGCGTCACGGGCCCGATGGGGATGGGGGTGGCCCCGTTGCTGCCGCCTCCACTACCGTTACCCTGACCATTGCTGTCTGCCGACTGCGGACTACCAGTTGAATCGTCTAAGGCACCTACAATTTAAACAAAAGTCAAAACCTGTATGAATCATCTTTACAATAGTTTTTAAAACAAATTAAAAAATCCTTACATGATTAAGCTTTATTTTGTCAATTAAAAAGACTCACTAAACAATTTCTAATCCCCGACTGAGAACAGTTAGCCATTATACACTGCTGTTCTTAAGTTAGGGAACCCCCTTTATAGTTAAGACGCCGGTATATTTACTTTTAAATAAGGCAACTTTCTAAAATTTCAAATTAATATATTTTTATATTATAACATTACCTATGAATAAACTGGTATTTTTTGTATGTTTTGTTTAATTTTAAGGTATTTTACTAAACTGAAAATGCTCTGACAAAAAAATTAATTCGGTTGTAATTTTACAGAAGGTTCCCTAACTTTTGAACAGCAGTTTATTATACCACTTACAAATAGATTTTAATATAACATAATTCGGTTGTTCTCGGGGTGTCACCTGTTAAGTAATAGTAATAGTAATAGCAATGTGAAAAATCCGACAATGTGCGAAATGTCTAGATACTCTGCAAACTGACCAATTTACCAGATATTGTGCAAAATCACTATCATCTTGGGCAATCTGCAAATTTACTACGCTATTTTAGGCAATTTGCAAAATGTCTGATGCGATCTGGGGATTAAACGTTTTTACTTCTCACATTGACTAGGCAGTATGCGTAACACTAATTTACGATAGAAATGTAAAATTGAAAAACTGAATTTTGTTTTTAGAAAAGAAATACTACAAATAAAAATTACATAATTATTATCAAGAACTGTTTTCCAACTGTTATACAACTGGGCCTTAGTGTACCAATATAATCTCAACTTATAAATTTGAAAATTTACCATCAGCTGGTATGGAGACACGCATGCGCACAAACCTGATGTACGTTTAATGCCCGTACTCCCGGTGTACTTCTATAGTCACTTTGATTTATTTTTGCAGGAATGACTGAATAGCAAAGTTCGGCAGAAGTAAAAGTATTGAGCACACTGCCTAGTCAATGTAAGAATTAAAAACCTTTAATCCCCAGATTGACTATCGCATCAGACATTTTGCAGATTGTCTAAAATAGCGTAGTAAATTTGCAGATTGCCCAAAATGATAGTGATTTTGCACAATGTCTGGTAAATTGGTCAGTTTGCAGTATATCTAGACATTTCGCACATTGCCGGATTTTTTACATTGCCGGTAACATATATATATATATATATATATTAGGGTGCTTTTTTTAAAGCAACATTTAAAAATTGAATAGCAACGGCTTTAAATAAATATTAAGAGCATTGTAATAGCTCAAAATTTTTGTTTTCTGACCGGTTACAAGATTTTTAGGTGGGACTGTCGCTCTAAAATGAAGCACCCTAATAGGTAAATTAAATATTTGTATAAAGCGACATCTATACGAAAATAAAGTAACCATCCCAATAAACACTTTTGACGTAATTTTCACCATTAACGATACCCGTTATTATTTTAATTCAACTTAACAATTATTGATAATTTAAAATATTAAAATAACTTGAAAATATGATAATGTTAAGAAAATATTTTATCCTTCGATTTTTTATTACTAAAATTGCAAAATATTATCACAAACTAGTAAAAATTCTTAGACGGGAAATGTTAAAGGGAAAAAAAGTGACAAAAGCGTTCAAATACGTTCATAATATGAACGTTTTTAAACGCTTTTGATTCATAATTTATATTTAAATCTTTTCAAATAAAGCGCCATAAAGCCACAGCTTGTCAATGTGTATTTAAAAGGAGTCATGGAAACATGTACGATAATTTTAAGGAAGGAACACACAAATGTCGACTAAAATGTTTTAAGATCATTTAAAAGCCTGTAGAATTATCCAAGAAACATTCTCACGGATTAGCATTATAATAAATAACGTAAGCGTCTGGCGATTTTTAAATTATTTATTATAAAAGCGAAGCAGAGATGGGTATGCTGCACGTTTATTCCAATTTAAATATATTGAACTTGTACTTCTATAATTAGATACGTATCAATTTTCTCCTTTAAAACCTGTTTAAATTATTCTTTTTCTTCTTATTCTTGCCCATCGTCTCCTCCACTCCCCCCCAACACAGTTCATGTGTGTGTGTGTATGTATATCGAGAGTGCTATGCGAAACAAAAGAAGTCGATTCGCTTTTGTCTAGGTCATGGCTGCCCAACTGCCTCATGATCATGGAATTAAAAGAACTAAATACACAAGAATGATTTCGTTAATATTTTTATTATACGTGTTGGTAATTTTAACAAGTTCCATCTCACCACTGTAACGACTAAATTTATGAATATAAGAAAGACATGTTTGAACTTTTGGTTAATTTAAGTTCCATCTCACCACTGTTATGATTAAATTTATGAATATAAGAAAGAACTGTTTGAACTTTTGGTAAATTAAAGTTCCATCTCACCACTGTTACGATTAAATTTATGAATAAAAGAAAAACCTGTTTGAACTTTTGAACAAACAAAACAAAACACGTCCAGTGGTAGGTGAGGGGTCGCGAAACAAAAGACGTCGCCTTTTGTGTAGGTCATGGTAAACCGTGATTTGTTTAAGCAACGCGACCTTTTTATTTTCGCTTGCCTTCTTTGCTACGCCAACTTCCTCGTTTGAATTTTTTATGCTCGTCATCGACGACGAGGAAAAACGGTTGCGAAAACAAAAAAGGAAAAAATGTCGACCAGTTAAACCGACGGGAAAAAGTTCAGAATCTGTAATTATGATAATTAGATGTCTGGCTGGTAGCAGCGTTTACAAGTTTGAATAAATAAAATTTTATCATTTTAAATTAAACCTTCGTTTTAACCAAACAATTATTTGACGCTTTTAAAGTCAAAATAAAAAACAAACCATATACTTTTGGCTCAAAACTCATGTTGTTCAGTGTAAAAATCGATACAATACAACAATAGACATAATTAAACAGTTTTTTTATACCAACTCGCCATTGTTAAGTCATAAAAAACAAAAAACGAAAGAGCATTAAGTCGCTTTAACTTAACGATACACAGAAAACAAAACAAATCACTGGACGAAACCCAAGAGAAACAAAAAACGTCGCATTGTTTGTTTACACAGCGCGGATATTTAAAGACAAAAATTTTGGACAAAAAAATTCATTTGAACATTTATTACGTGTGCTAAAAATTAACATTCGTTAGGTTTTGGATTTCACGCGCTGTCCAATTAACGTAAATATTGATTTGTTGCTTTTGGGGGGTGGGAGGGTGCAATACACCACCCCCCACGCAATTTGTACTGTTTACGATGTAACAGCGAATCATCGCAAAATCATTGCAAAAATAATGCCACCCAGATTTTTTTAATTCGAGATTTTAAACGCCCAGTTTAAAAAATTGTTATAAAGATGTTTAATTGATAAAAATATCCCGTCAATTAACCTTGAATAAACTTTAAACATAAAAAAAATATGCACGATTCTATTTTTATAAAACGTTACTTATGCATAAACAAAATAAAATAAATTAGGTAATCGAAATGTGTTATTTGCCAGGGAATGTAAAGTATTAATGCTAGTTAAACATAATAAACACAAATAATAATTGTATCGTTTCGTTTTATACGAATATAAAATTTATCGACATCAAGTCTAAATTATTCATTTGATAATGATAATATTTTAGATTTTAGTGGCATTTACTTATTATAAAGAAAAAATATATTTTTTGATAAATGTTAAATAGTTTTTTTTTTAGAAAAAATATATTTTTTGATAAATGATAAATAGTTTTTACTTATAATAAGTAAAAAGTATTTAACATTTATCAAAATATATATTTTTTCTTTGAAAATATTGCTGGACATATACTTTCTATAGAGATAATTTTCCATAGTTCTATATTTTGTTAAAAATGTAGTTTTTATAACAAAAGTTAAAATTTCAAAAGAATATTGTTGATTTATTGAAAGAATACAATAAAATAGGAAAACTTATGCATGTCAAATGGTCGTTATTGTGTATAAAAGCTTAAAAAAAGATCTAGTTTTAGGCGGTCTTAAGCTTGCAAAGCATAGGGTAGGTTTGGTCGTTTGGGTTGGCAGCAGTGACGTCAGCCGCGTTGTTGAACTTGGCTGCCGCTGTCTGTCGGGTTGGTGCACCTGTTGTGTGTGCAATCGCGCCCCGGGAAGGCCGAACCGGCCGCGGACCGCACCGATATGCAGTCAAAAAATTATAACTTTTTATTATTTTATCCTTTGACAATTATTAATAAAAATTTGCACATAAAGGTTGCAATATATTCTAAAATAAAAAAATAATCATCAATATTATATGTCGTTTGGAATCAAAGAAAAAAATAAAATTTTGACTGCATATAAATCCGGTCGACGTTCGTTTCGAAGCGCAAGCTGTCTGGTAAGCGTGTCAAAACAGAACCGCCACTACCGCCAATTTTTTTTTATGCCGACTCGGTTTTGTTTTCTTACACTTTCTACTGTTTTACTGGGCCACTAGATGATTGATGACGGCGATTTTTTTCATTGCAATTCTATTTAGTTTTGTTAAATGTGTAAAGTTGCAATGAAAGGTTTCATTATTGAATAATAATTTTTAAAACAAAAAATAATATTTTTTTTTTAAATTTAAAAGAAAATTTAAATTTTCGATTTTTAATAAATAATAAACTGGGTTTCGCAGATCAACCCAAAGATGCCGCCTCCGCCGCCGCCGCCGCCTAACCGCGTTCGATTTAATTTCGTCTCCCGAATCCGACTTGGATCCCGGTAATGAAATTCGTTGCGGGGGCGGCGCGGGGGGCGTCAGCGTCCGCCGCCCCCCCCCGCCGCCGCCGTCCCATCCGGGGTGCACTTGTTCGGAGAGAGAGTAACGCGCCGCGTTCCCCATCCGGGGGCGGCCCACCGCCCCCCCATCCCCGCCGCCCCTCATGTGTATATCGATCGGGGAAGTCAAGTCAAGTCGGGGGCGGGTTTCGCTGCGGCGG